CTGAGTCAATTCAGTGGCTAGCTTTGCACTTGGCTAGCTAACAGTAGCTGCTAGGGGTAAGTCATAACCTACATTTGTGTTTTGTTTTTTACATATTGATAGCCCGAGTCGTTCAAGGAATTTGGGACATGGGTGACTAGTTAACATTAGTTTGGCTCTCTCTGTGTGTTCGTGCCGTGAAAAGAGGGGTTCTTCTTTGTCTGAAAGCAATGGCTAGCTAGTTTGCTAACTATTCTAGCTAACTAACTGGCTGAATAAGTTGACGACGGACTCGCTCAAGCTGTCGGGACTAACCCACAACGTTAGACACGGACACGAACGATCTGCTTGCGTGTTGATACACTGGTGGTTTGTTGTGGCAGAGTATTGGCGCTAAACCGCGTTGCTGGAGTCCGGCATGCTAGCTGGCTGTGGCGTCATATGACTTGATGCCCGGACGATTTTCACGGAATAATACTGCACCTAGTTAGCTAGCTGAATAAACTGAGTTAGTCTATTCCTAGAAACATTGAACCGCTGTAGTTTACAACAATTATAGTTTCTGAGGTGGAAGTTGGGAGAGTTATATTTGGGAGTTGTGCTGAGGGAGGCCCCGCTCTCTCCTTTCCCAGATGTTTAGTTCATTTCATTCCGATCTCCTCTGCATTATTGTAGCCATTTGCTGCAGCCTGTCAACTATGCCTCTGCCTATCCCTGTTCTCTCCTCTCCGCACAGGCTACACAAACGCCTCACACCGCGTGGCTGCTGCCTCTCTAACCTGGTGGTCCCTGCACGCACCACCCACCTGGAGTTCCAGGTCTCAGGCAGCCTCTGGAACTGCCGTTCTGCTGCCAACAAGGCAGACTTCATCCCAGCCTATGCTACCCTCCAGTCCCTCGACTTCTTGGCACTGACGGAAACATGGATTACCACTGAAAACACTGCTACTCCTACTGCTCTCTCCTCGTCTGACCATGTGTTCTCGCATACCCCGAGAGCATCTGGTCAGCGGGGTGGTGGCACAGGAATCCTCATCTCTCCCAAGTGGACATTCTCAATTTTTCCCCTAACCCATCTGTCTATCTCCTCATTTGAATTCCATGCTGTCACAGTCACTAGCCCATTTAAGCTTAATATCCTTGTCATCTATCGCCCTCCAGGTTCCCTTGGAGAGTTCATCAATGAGCTTGACGCCTTGATAAGTTCCTTTCCTGAGGATGGCTCACCCCTCACAGTTCTGGGGGATTTCAACCTCCCTATGTCTACATTTGACTCATTTCTCTCTGCCTCCTTCTTTCCACTCCTCTCCTCTTTTGACCTCACCCTCTCACCGTCCCCCCCTACTCACAAGGCAGGCAATACGCTTGACCTCATCTTTACTAGATGCTGTTCTTCTACTAATCTCACTGCAACTCCCCTCCATGTCTCCGACCACTACTTTGTATCCTTTTCTCTCTCGCTCTCCTCCAACACTACTCACTCTGCCCCTACACAGATGGTAATGCGCCGTCGCAACCTTCGCTCTCTCTCTCCCGCTACTCTCTCCTCTTCCATCCTATCATCTCTTCCCTCTGCTCAATCCTTCTCCCTCTAATCTCCTGATTCTGCCTCCTCAACCCTCCTCTCCTCCCTTTCTGCATCCTTTGACTCTCTATGTCCCCTATCCTCCCGGCCGGCTCGGTCCTCCCCTCCAGCTCCGTGGCTTGATGACTCATTGCGAGCTCACAGAACAGAGCTCCGGGCAGCTGAGCGGAAATGGAAGAAAACTAGACTCCCTGCGGACCTGGCATCTTTTCACTCCCTCCTCTCTACATTTTCTTCATCTGTTTCTGCTGCTAAGGCCACTTTCTACCACGCTAAATTCCAAGCATCTGCCTCTAACCCTAGGAAGCTCTTTGCCACATTCTGCTCCCTCCCGGGGAAGGACTGCCTGTTCCATGATCTCGCCATCACGGTTGACAACTCTGTTGTGTCCTCCTCCCAGAGTGCGAAGAGCCTTGGCGTGACCCTGGACAACACCCTGTCGTTCTCCGCTAACATCAAGGCGATGACCCGATCCTGTAGGTTCATGCTCTACAACATTCGGAGAGTACGACCCTGCCTTACACAAGAAGCGGCACAGGTCCTAATCCAGGCACTTGTCATCTCCCGTCTGGATTACTGCAACTCGCTGTTGGCTGGGCTCCCTGCCTGTGCCATTAAACCCCTACAACTCATCCAGAATGCTGCAGCCCGTCTGGTGTTCAACCTTCCCAAGTTCTCTCACGTCACCCCCCTCCTCCGCACACTCCACTGGCTTCCAGTTGAAGTTCGCATCTGTTACAAGACCATGGTGCTTGCCTATGGAGCTGTGAGGGGAACGGCACCTCCGTACCTTCAGGCTCTGATCAGTCCCTACACCCAAACGAGGGCTTTGCGTTCATCCACCTCTGGCCTGCTGGCTCCCCTTCCTCTGCGGAAGCATAGTTCCCGCTCAGCCCAGTCAAAACTGTTCGCTGCTCTGGCACCCCAATGGTGGAACAAGCTCCCTCACGACGCCAGGACAGCGGAGTCACTCACCACCTTCCGGAGACATTTGAAACCCCACCTCTTTAAGGAATACCTGGGATAGGATAAAGTAATCCTTCTACCCCTCCCTTACCCCAACCCCCCCCCCCCCAAAAAAAATAAACTTTGTAAAGTGGTTATCCCACTGGCTATAAGGTGAATGCACCAAGAGCGTCTGCTAAATGACGTAAATGTAAATGTAATCAGTGCCCAACCTCTCTCATGCTCTTGTGGTTGAATGGAAGCAAGTCCCCGCAGCAATGTTCCAACATCTAATTCATTTAAAGTCTAAAAATGAATGTATCAATTACAGATTATCCCTTTAAGCAAGGACAATTAGTTTATTTTAATAATCAATTAAAATAAACGCCCATACTTTCATAATGATCTTATAATAGGGTAACCCATACCCTACACAAATCCAAAAATGAATGTAGCAGCAACTGCAGATTGCCCCTTTAATAATGAATAGGCCTTTATCAGAACCCTTCAATAAAAACTCATAATGTATAGAGGTGCAAGTATTCCAAAGTATTATAAATATTGAGCTATTAAATGGATTATCTGTTATTTCAAATATATATATATATATATATATATTTTGCAATAGTCTCGTTCTTCCCTTTCATAATGTTGCTTTCCAGAGGATTAGAATAAGAGAATGAGATATTTCAGTATCCTCGCCTCAGTTACGACCGTCGTTTCCACTAGGCTGAGCTTGCTTGTATGATGTAGGCGTGAGCAACGACAAAGACGCGAGGGAAACATGGGCGAGAGGGAGAGAAAGAGGAGGGAGATACAGTGAACGTGCGTCTGATGAGGGGGGGGACGCCTGCAAGCGGCGAGTGTGACTCACAGATGGGGTGGTAGCAGTCTAGAAGGAGAATGCGTGGACGGCACTTTGCGACTGGGAAATAAACCCACAGACGCCAGTAAATGCCTTCTCTTTAGGATAGTATGAGATGAATTGGTGAGAGGGTCGCGGACGGTGCGACCAGAATCGTGCAGCAGCCTGGCATTAATGACAAACAAGGGAGATATTCGAACGCACAATAGAACAAGCACCAACCGCAGAGGAATGTGTAGAAATCTATCGGACTCGAATCAAGCCACTCAGAAAATAACGTAGTCTCGGATCCGTTGGACCTCCCTCGTCGTTGTTATAAAACAGGAAAACGGATTACAGAACCAAACATTTGTGAATTTTGGGCTTGTTGGAGCGTTTCTTTTGTCAGGCGAGACCTGAAAAACTTCTACAATGGCTCTGGTCATGGAGCCTGTAAGCAAGTGGAGTTCGAGTCAAGTGGTGGACTGGATGAAAGGTACGCCACGGTTTCAAGATGTGCATTAGGTGTTGCCTATCAACCTGCACACAAAATGCTGGGAAATATATATTCTCTGGACTCAAGTATAACGGCACCAAATGCGCCCAACTCCGATCAATGAACAGTGCGAGGCTAGAGCCATCACTGGCGATTGGGCGAAACAAAAACACCTGCTGGACCTCAGTATAATGTATTCAATTATTATGGCAACAGATTTATATTCTATTCTATTCTTTACTATGTGGGCTCTCAATACCACTAATGTAATTCAAATTTAAATAGAAATGTGGGCTGTGGAATTGGCAGTGATATAGACTTGGACCTGAGAAAATCTCAAAGCACTGGTGGATGAGTTGGTTTAGTGGTATTTGAAAGAGTTCTGTATGGAGGCAGTATTTGCCTTTGAAGTGGCATTTCAGATCGGTCTGAATATTGCCATTATAGGATAAATTATCTACTGAAATGAAGGCATTGGGATAAATGACACTGAAATGAAAAAAGTAGTTATAGTAAAAACTGTAGCTATTTGAAATGAAGCATTTGATGTTTCCGATTATGCAGAATATAATTAATGGAACAAACTCAAATGTCTATAAGAGAGACACTAATATATCTAAAATAGCTTATTTAATTTCCATGGATGTGGAGCTGAGATAGTTGTTGATTCTCTGAGTCCCACCCATCTAAGGGAAAGTCAAAGATGGACTCTAGAGAATATATTACTAATAGCTATTACATCATCACTCTGGAGTGGATCTAGTGCAAATACTAAATATATCAATTATTTATTAACTACATCCAAAAATACTATTTCAGATCTGCAACACAGGTGGTGGTAATAATGCAGTAATAGCTATATCTTGGATGAAGAAGATAAGCTACTTCGGGTGATTCATATGAGAGATGTAGTGTGTGTGAGGCCATGGATCAAGGCTGGCGGTAGGCCCATGTTACTTTGGAGAGATGCTTAACCAGATGGTGGTAGTGCCCTATGTGCTGTTGAGCCACTGTGGCTTGCTGTAACTGCAGTTGATAAGACTGTCTTTAACACACACACTAGGCTTCCTGACACACACACATACACCACCTCAAATAGACGTTGTTCTTCTTCCATTATGAATTGTATGAACTACTGACTCCAGTTTAGAATGAAGTGGAGCGGTAACAGTTGATACACTTCTCAGACTTGTTTAGATAATGTAGGCCAAATGGCATGCATATTCATGGGGGTGGGGGGAGGCATGCATATTAATTTGAGAGAGGATATGTTTTCTGTTCATTCTATGTTTATTGTTTACATGAATTGTGTGTTACTGTCATGTGTTTTGTGTGTATCACATGCCTGTGTACGTCTGTGTTCATATATGTCGTTATTACTGTGTAATGTGTTGTTTGTCTCTGCTGAGCAGAGTACAAATGTGGAGGATTATAACCTCACAGTGATGATCCAACCAATGTGTTCATTTACTTATTCACGCCTCCACTGACTCAAAACTCAAAGATTCAGACATGCTCCAAACATACACAGCAGCTCAGCTGGCTTTGCAAGGCACTGTAGTAGTCAAGGCGTCAGTGTGTGTGTGTGTGTGTGTGTGTGGATAGGTGTGTGTGCTTTTGCTTGGAAAGACAAGTGGAATAGTAGGATTAGAGGGATGTAATGGAAGAGTAAGAGGGAATGGCAGAAGATAATGATGATGAGATTCGGAGCTGATGAAGAGAAGAGAAAGAGATTGTATATTGGAAGAGATGGAGAGGAGATAAGGACTGGAAGAAACATCGGATGAGTGGAGCTGAGACAAGTTCTAGGCCCAGAGCCTAGTAATGGTGATGTAAAGTGAGGGATGGAGGAAGATGCCACAGTCACAAAGGAAAGGAAATGGAGTTTGTGTGATCTTGTCTCGGATCCATTCTTAAACTCCCCGTCGCAAGTGCCCACAGCATCTCCACCTCATCATTACTATTCAGAGGTTCCATCATTAGCATAGGGCTCAGTGATGTCACCTGAGGCCAAATAGGAGCACCCAGTGAACTTCCCATAATGGCACTCTCTGCATACTCCTGGCGCTTCCTGTGTCCAAGCTCTACTCTCTCAGCGCCGACAAAGACCTCTCCACAGAGAAACCCCTCCACTTACGATAGATGGTCTTTTAAATGAAGGGTGAACTGTGCATTATGACAATATAATTTATTTACACATATATTGCAGTTTAAACCAGGGGTTGGAACGTTCTGAACAGAACCACTATTGTTTTTATTTCGTTCCACTGTTCCGAACAGCAAAATAAAGTTCTGATCCGGTTCTAACCCCCCAAAAAGTGACAGTTTATATCATTATTTTCTGTTCCTTTTTTAACCTGTGAAATATATATATATTTTACATTTAGCTCATTAAATTACTTCACCAACCAGTGCGGATAGAACAGGCAAGCTAGTTGTTTACATGCGTGATGGACAGACAAGTGTAGCCTATGGCACAAGATGCGACTGAAAAATGCCTGGAATGTAAAATAATGTTATTAACCGGTTCCTATGCTTTTAAAATAACGGTTCTGTTCTGGAACAGTATGGATAACTTTTGTTCCAGATTCCGTTTCTGTTCCTTGAAAATGTTTGTTATTTTCCAGTTTTGGCTTCTGTTCCCTGAACCGGTTCCAACCCCCCTGGTTTAAACAGCTGCAAATACTTGGTTAATGTTCAAGCTAAGGGTTTTATGAAAATATATATTTTTAATCTTACATTTGTTAATTTCAAACAAAACACCTGCCATACATTTGTGCTAAAGGCAATTACTGAGATGATTGTCAAGCTAGCTAAGCTGTAATGCACTGCCCTAGCAAAATCATGTCGAAAATTAGACCAATTTCCTCACTTGTGTTGCATAGCATTGCATGCATTTGATGTTTGAATATTATTATGTGCCATATGTTGGGTATGTGAGTGTATGTATAGACTATAGTAAATGTGTGTGCAAATTTACAGCATGATTCTCTGGTTAAAGTGTGTTTATCGTCTTAAACTGTGTGTGTGCGTGTGTTTTGATCTGACTGGCTGGCACCCTGCCCATGTCTCTTGACAATGATAAATGATGTAGATTAGCATAGTGCACCCTCCCCTACAAAGCCAACACAATCATGTATCACAGCACTAAACACAACTTACTCACCGCAGCCTCAATTACTAGCAGATTAATAGTCTCTTAATCAGATCTCTCATCTCATCTCTTTCTGTGTCTCTCTGTGTGCTCTTCCCAGTCAGGGTGACTGTCTGTCTCATCCATTGGTCTCATCACAAAGAATAGCTCTGTTTGTTTAGGGAGGCCAGGCCAGTTGATTAAGGGGGGATTTCTCTGCAAAGTGGGGGGAAGGCTCTATGCAAAGTGGGGTAAAGCTAGGCTAGTTTGTTATAGAAGGGTTGCTCTGCCAATTTAGAATGACAAAGCCCATCTCTGAATTGAGGTGTAATATAGCTGTTTTAAAGGACAAATACCAATGTATGTAGGGAGATAGCTCTGTTATCTGGAGAGGCAGAGCATTCATACTTTAGACAATGTCCCTGCTTGTTTTGGTGGGAAGACATTAGAGGGGTCTTTTCTTTCTCTCTACCTTTTCACTTACATGTTTAGTTACAGTATTGTTGTCTTGTTGTCTTGCAGGAGCCACTCTACTCCAAACCCCACTGCATGGTTTCTATAGCAACATGGGGATTTCTTCATTGACAAATGGGTCTTGATTAACTGGGTAAAGAGGCTGATTTGTTAAGCCCTTAAATTGTATGCAAAGCCATAGAACTCTCCTCTTGTTGCTTCTCCATAATTTTTCTGCCAGCTGATCTTGAGCCGAATGCTTCATTAGGTCCAGGCCCGAGAACATACTGAGACTGAATCAAAAGGAGGAGATGAGGACTCCACAGCCTTCTTTGTGGGAGGCTGACCGTGGGAGGAGAAAGGAGAGAAAGAGTGTGGGAGAGTGGATGAGGGAGAGATTGAGAAACACTGAGAATGAGAGAGATGAGGAAAATTGAGCTGTTGTGCTCTGGACCAAAACACAGACAACCTGACTGGTTCTGCTTTCTCTCCACCGCCCTCTCTGAGTGTGTGTTGTATGTCAAGATGTATATGTGTGTTTACATGTGTGTGTGTTCATATGTGTATCAGTATCTTAGCCAATGTGAGGATAATGTCACTATCCATGAAGAGCGGGGGGGGGGGGGGGGGTGGGGGGGGCGTTTCCGTGACAACATCAGGCTCTGCCAAGTAGGTCTGCCCCTATTTGAGACAACGGTCCTTGAGATGAGATCCATGATGTGTGTGTTTGTATTGTGTGTGTGTGTGTGTGAGACAGCAGTGTGTGTCAGTGGTGGAGAGATTGTGTGATTCTGTGTGAGTGTTTAGTCCACATTTAGACAGGCGTTTGTACAGCTGTGAATGAAAGCTTTCAGAGATAATGACAGAGATGGTGCTATCTCTGTGTTTGTATGCCAGTGGGATAGGAGGATCAGTTTGAACAGCTCCTCTGTTCCTCCACCAGGGAGGGAGGGAAGGATGGAAGGATGATACTGTGTGTCAAGTGGGTTTAGTGTGGAGCTAAATGTTTACTCATGAAAGACCTGTGTCAACTGTTGGTTATGAGTGGGCTGTAAGTGTGCAGTAAATGTGAGAGTGTTTGAATGTGTCATGGTCTTTATAAAGATATGATACTTTTTGTGTAGTTCTGTGTGTGGGTTCTGTTAATAATAGGAGGAATGGTATGCGTAGGGGTTATGCATATGTTGGTTGTTTGTAGGTTGTACGTACCACTGTAATTTGTTGGACATGTGTGGAGGTCTGCATGACGTGGGTGATTAAAGCTTGGTGAGGCTGTGTGTTTATGTCTGTTCAGCGGTGCCCAGAATGGCACTATGTTCAGCTCTGTGCCACATGTGTTCATCTCTGAGATCTCTGTTTGTCCATTTTAATTAAACCAAGCACTGGCACACACTCACAGGCTGCAGTTTCAAAGGCCAGAAATGAGTGACGCAGACACAAACACACTCATACTCACACACAGACACACACATGCTAACACACACACACAGTCAGAGATAGAGAGAGAGGGGGGGGGGGGGGGAGAGAGGGGTGGGGGGGGGGGAGAGAGACAAGATGGAGTGATAGAGTCACTGTAGATCCCTCAGGACTGCAGAGCTGAACTGATAAGAGGGAGTTTCTTCACACAGCCCTGCCTAGATAACATAACATCTTCACACACAATATTTATACTGATGCCTGTGAGGGACTGAGGTTGTTGGAGCTTACATCTGAAACACACTGCCTGCATCGGCCTTCGTAATAATCTGGATGGATGGAGTTGATACAAAGATTATTGTTACTTAAATGAAATTATGTTGTCTCTCAAAATAATATGCTGTATATGCTATTTCTCAATGAAACATAAATCAATACATGTGTATAAAGTAGTAGCAGACAGCAGCAGAGAGGAGTAAGCCAATACAAATCTGTTTACCTGAATATATCCCTTTGTAATGAGAGTTTTCACCGCGTCATCTCCTCCACTCCCTCCAGGGCTGGATGACTGTCTGCTGCAGTACATTAAGACGTTTGAGAGGGAGAAGGTGGGGGGAGACCAGCTGCTTCGTATCACCCACCAGGAGCTGGAGGACCTGGGAGTGTCCCGCATCGGACACCAGGAGCTCATCCTGGAGGCTGTGGACCTACTCTGTGCCCTGGTGAGTCCTCCATCCCTTTCACTCAGCCATTTCATTCCCCTCTAGAGCAGGGGTCTTCAACCTTTTCTTGCCCAGGGACCCCCTCCCAGGCAAACCGGCAACCCAGGGACCCCATCATATGTTACCAAACCTTTTCTTTCACGTCTTGTCTTATCATCAGGTGAATGAAAGTGGCAAGGCGAAATAATCAACATATATTTTTAAATGAATAGATATGGTAGATCGTTTTTCACTATTTTGACCTCCCCACATTATAATTTGCGGCAGGTAGCTTAGTGGGTAAGAGCGCTGTGCCAGTAACCGAAAGGTCGCTGGTTCTAATCCCCGAGCCGACTAGGTGAAAAATCTGTCAATGTGCCCTTAAGCAAGGCACTTAACCCTAATTGCTCCTGTAAGTCGCTCTGGATAAGAGCGTCTGCTAAATGACTAAAATGTAAATGTAAATAATTGGAGGATGAAGTGTAAACTCTTAACTGCCTATTAGCAAGAAAGTTAACTCCAAACACATTTGCACTAAAAGAACATCTGTTTAACTGGTTAAACAAAGGTTAGCCATGTTTTTGCAAAAATGAATTACCAAGTCAAGAAAGCTTACCACCAACCAGTGGCACTTGCCACACTGGTAGCCTATTCGCAGGTGCTTTTTCAAAGTCTATGTCAGATACAGATACAGTATGAAAATGTATGCACTCACTAACTGTAAGTCGCTCTGGATAAGAGCGTCTGCTAAATGACTGAAAACGTAAAAAATAAAAAAATACTCCAGTGAGTGTAATTGGCTCTAATGAGTGTAATTTGCTCAAGATTAGGAGTTGAGAATCATTGAGGATCGATGAACCCACCAAAGAGTGTGAATCAAGTCAGGAAGTCAGAGAACCATCCAGAGACTAACTCAAATAGTCTAGGTCTAGGCTTAATCTGTGTCCGGGAAACAAACCCCTTCTTTTTTGGCCATAGTGAAGACCCCTTTTTAGAGGTCAGACAGGCAGCTGGCGGGGGTAGTGCTTAACTGTAAGAGTCTTTACAGTTTAGGAGTGAAGTGCTGGGATATGTTAAAGCATTTCTGCACTGACAGCATTTCAGACTCTTGTTCTATCTTGTATGTTTTGTTTGTCTGACGTCTGTGTCCATTTTAGGACATTCTATCATTCTATATTCCCTTTAGGTTGCATTTTCTTTATGATTATTGATAATTAGTTGATGACATACTCACGGTTGGCCAACATCTGTTTTAGGCTGTCAGTGTTGTGATAGATCAGGTAATTGCCCTGTTTGTCAGTTAATTTCCCTTGTTCCATCTGTGTGCTGGAGGGATAGTCACTCACTGAAAAGAAACATTAATCATCTCTGATAATCCCCTGGACTAATTTCCCATTCTCTCTGCCACCCCACACATACTGTACAGACACAATCACACCACCCCACACACACACAACACAATCACACCAGTTTCTAGGGTGGTCTGGGTGGGTGTGACACATGGATGATAAAGAACGATGACCAACAGAAAATAATAGATGGAGAGAAAGAGGGGGAGATGGAGGATGAGAGAGAAGAGAGAGGATGCGAGTAGAGATTGAGTGGGTGAGATTGATGGGAATAAAGGGAAACGAGTGAGGTGGGATAACTATTTAACTCACTGTTTAGCAGTCTAATGGCTTGGGGGTAGAAGCTGTTCAGGGTCAAGTTGGTTCCAGACTTGGTGCATTGGTACCGCTTGCTGAGCGGTAGCAGAGAGAACAGTCTATGACTTGGGTGGCTGAAGTCTTTGACAATTTTTAGGGCCTTCCTCTGACACCGCCTGGTACAGAGGTCCTGGATGACAGGGAGCTCGGCCCTAGTGATGTACTGAGCCGTACGCACTACCCTCTGTAGCGCCTTGCGGTCGGATGCCAAGCAGTTGCCATACCAAGCGGTGATGCAGCCAGTCAAGATGCTCTCAATGGTGCAGCTGTATACGTTTTTGAGGATCTGAGGGCCCATGCTGAATCTTTTCAGCCTCCTGAGGGGAAGAGGCGTTGTCATGCCCTCTTCACGACTGTGTTGGTAAATGTGGACAATGATAGTTCCTTAGTGATGTGGACACTGAGGAACTTGAAGCTCCCGACCTGCTCCACTACAGCCCCGTCAATGTGGATGGGGGCATGTTCGGCCCTCCGTTTCCTGTAGTCCACTATCAGCTCCTTTTTCTTGCTGACATTGAGGGAGAGGTTGTTGTCCTGGCACCACACTGCCAGGTGTCTGACCTCCCTGTAGGCTGTCTCATAGACTGTTCTCTCTGCTACCGCATGGCAAGCGGTACCGATGCACCAAGTCTGGAACCAACAGGACCCTGAACAGCTTCTACCCCCAAGCCATAAGACTGCTAAATAGTTAGTTAAATAGTTAACAAATAGTTACCCAGGCTATCTGCATTGACCCTTTTTGCACAAACTCTTCTGACTCATCACATACGCTGCTGCTACTGTTTATTATACACTGAGTGTACAAAACTTTAAGAACATGACATAGACTGCTCTTTCCATGACATAGACTGACCAGGTGAATCCAGGTGAAAGCTATGATCCCATACTGATGTCACTTGTTAAATACACTTCAATCAGTGTAGATGAAGGGGAGGAGACAGGTTAAAGAAGGATTTTTAAGCCTAGAGACATGGATTGTGTATGTGTGCCATTCAGAGGGAGAATGGGCAAGACAAAACATTTAAGTGCCTTTGAACGGGGTATGGTAATAGGTGCCAGGCGAACCGGTTTGTGTCAAGAATTGCAACGCTGCTGGGTTTTTCACACTCAACAATTTCCTGTGTGTATCAAGAATGGTCCACCACCCAAAGGACATCCAGCCAACTGGACACATCTGTGGGAAGCATTGGAGTCAACATGGGCCAGCATCCCTGTGGAACACTTTCGACACCTTGTAGAGTCCATGCCCCGACAAATTGAGGCTTTTCTGAGGGCAAAAGAGAGGGGTTTAATTCAATATTAGGAAGGTGTTCCTAATGTTTGGGATACTCAGTGTATATATTGTTGCTTAGCCACTTTATCTCTACCTACAGTTGAAGTTGGAAGTTTACATACACTTAGGTTGGAGTCATTAAAACTCATTTTTCAACCACTCCACAAATTTCCTGTTAACAAACTATAGCTTTGGCAAGTCGGTTAGGACATCTACTTTGTGCATGACACAAGTAATATTTCCAACAATTGTTTACAGACAGATTATTTCACTGTATCACAATTCCAGTGGGACAGAAGTTTACATACACTAAGTTGACTGTGCCATTAAACAGCTTGGAAAATTCCAGAAAATGATATCATGGCTTTAGAAGCTTCTGATAGGCTAATTTACATAATTTCAGTCAATTGGAGGTGTACCTGTGGATGTATTTCAAGGCCTACCTTCAAACTCAGTGCCTCTTTGCTTGACATCATGGGAAAATCAAAAGAAATCAGCTAAGACCTCAGAAAAAAATTTGTAGACCTCCACAAGTCTGGTTCATCCTTGGGAGCAATTTCCAAATGCCTGAAGGTATCACGTTCATCTATACAAACAATATTATGCAAGTATAAACACCATGGTACCATGGAGATGAACGTACTTTAGTGCGAAAGGTGCAAATCAATCCCAGTACAACAGCAAAGGACCTTGTGAAGATGCTGGAGGAAACAGGTACAAAAGTATCTATATCCACAGTAAAACGAGTCCTATATCGACATAACATGAAAGGACGCTCAGCAAGGAAGAAGCCACTGCTCCAAAACCGCCATAAAAAAGCCAGACTACGGTTTGCAATTGCACATGGGGACAAAGATCGTACTTTTTGGAGGAAAAAGGGGGTAGCTTGCAAGCCGAAGAACACCATCCCAACCGTGAAGCACGGTGGTGGCAGCATCATGCTGTGGGGGTGCTTTGCTGCATGAGCGACTGGTGCACTTCACAAAATAGATGGCATCATGAGGAAGGAAAATTATGTGGATACATTGAGCAAACATCTCAAGACATCAGTCAGGAAGTTAAAGCTTGGTCGCAAATTGGTCTTCCAAATGGACAATGACCCCAAGCATACTTCCAAAGTGGTGGCAAAATGGCTTAAGGACAACAAAGTCAAGGTATTGGAGTGGCCATCACAAAGCCCTGACCTCAATCCTATAGAAAATTTGTGGGCAGAACTGAAAAAGCGTGTGCGAGCAAAGAGACCTACAAAACTTACTTTCACCAGCTCTGTCAGGAGGAATGGGCCAAAATTCACCCAACTTATTGTGGGAAGCTTGTGGACGGCTACCCGAAACATTTGACCCAAGATAAACCGTTTAAAGGCAATGCTACCAAATACTAATTGAGTGTATGTAGACTTCTGACCCACTGGGAATGTGATGAAAGAAATACAAGCTGAAAGAAATAATTCTCTACTATGATTCTGACATTTCACATTCTTAAAATGAAGTGGTGATCCTAACTGACCTAAGACAGGGAATTATTACTAGGATTAAATGTCAGGAATTGTGAAAAACTGAGTTTAAATGTATTTGGCTAAGGTGTATGTAAACTTCCGACTTCAACTGTATCTACCTCAATAACCTCCTACCCCTGCACATCGACTCGGTACTGGTACCCTGTGTATATAGCCAAGTTATCGTTACTCATTGTGTATTTATTCCTTGTGTTATACTTTTTCTATTTTTTATTATTTCTCTGCAAGTCTACACCTGTTGTTTACGAAGCATGTGACAAATAAAACTGTTTATTTGATAGAGAGAGAGAGAGAGAGAGAGAGAGAGAGAGGAGGGGATATAAGAGAGGAAGGGATTAGAGAGAGAAAGAGGAAGAGATAGAGAGAGAGAGAGAGAGAGAGAGAAGGAGAGAGAGAGATAGGAGAGATAGAGGAGAGAGAAGTGAGAGAGATGCTCTAGAGCTCAGATTATCTCGTTTATAGCGATACGAGTTATCAATATCTGATTCTCTCTCGTCTCTCTCTTCTTTTCTCTCTCTCTCTCTGTCTGTCCTCTGATGTCTCTCGCTCTCTTGTGCCTCTGCTCCTATTCTGTTTTTCTCTCTCTCTTCTTTCAGTCTGCTCTCCTCGCTCCTCGTCTCTCTCTTGCCTCTCATAGCGTTCTCTTCGTCTCTCTCTGCTTCTCCTCTTCTGCTTTCGGTGCTCGCTCGTCTTGCTCTCTTTCTCTCGCTCTCCTCCTTCCTCTCTCTCCTCTCTCTTTCGAGAGGCTCTCCAGGTGGCCTCTCGTTTCTAGTTTCCTCAGCATAGGTCCAAATGTTATCTGAAGCCCACTCATCCTCCCTAGCTGTACGGGTAAGCTCGCCTTCACTCCCAAAGCCCCTTATGTAACTGGGATTTGGTTAAGTCAGTCAGTCAGGCACTGCTGTATTAAATACGATTACTCATCGGAAAGCCCCCCTCTAAGAAACCCTCTCATGACAGACGTCCACAGGCCCCCACGTGCAGTGGGGCATTGTGGGTAGCGGGTAATGAGTGTTCTGGTTTCCCCACACATGCGAGGTGACAGCTGGAGGTGGAGTGGGGGGCGGGTCTGATGGGTCACTGGTTCTGTTCGATCCTCACGTTTGTCACACAGTGAGACAGGCATAAGCAGGCGGGCTGGACTCCCTGTGAGCCCGTTAGTATGACTGGCTTTCTATTTACCACACTTTTAATCCCTGTACTTTCTCTGCCTGTATGGAAAGAAACATGTTACAGTGAATTGTGTGTTCATGCCACATTCCCTTCCTTTGAACGAGGGTGAAGAGTGTTTACGTGAAAGGGAGTATAGGGAGCGTTTTTATTATTACTGTTGACTTGATTATCTAAACTACATTATCTTACAGTATATTTACAGCTTTTGGGAAAGTTAGTAACCTTGAATTTTCTCCTTTAGTTGCCTTCACATGTACAGGATGTGACTTACTGGTTAGTGTGCACTTTGATCTTCACACACTATAGTCCTGTGATTGTGTATAATATTGGCTCTGAAGTTTCTGTATTTTGTTTTGAATTGATATCGACAGGTTAAAACCCCTTGAGACGCATCATCTCCTCTTCAGGAGGGTTCTGTAGAAACATAAAACAACAGAAATCATCCAAAATCACAAATACTGTACAACAGCAATAACATTCCGGTAATAAATTATAATGACAACAAGAGTCGACCAAAACCAAACCAAATCCTCTCTCTCTCTCTCTCTCTCTCTCTCTCTCTCTCTCTCTCTCTCTCTCTCTCTCTCTCTCTCTCTCTCTCTCTCTCTCTCTCTCTCTCTCTCTCTCTCTCTCTCAGAACTACGGTCTGGAGACAGAGAATCTGAAGACTCTATCCCACAAGCTGAATGCCTCAGCAAAGAACCTGCAGAACTTCATCACAGGGAGGCGTCGCAGTGGTCACTATGATGGCCGCGCCACCCACAAGCTGCCCAATGACTTCCTCACCTCTGTGGTGGACCTCATCGCTGCAGCCAAGAGCCTGCTGGCCTGGCTGGATAGGTGAGATTTGCAAAGAGCTACAGTACACATACACACACACACGTAATCACATACAGAACTTTTCACTTCAAAGTAAAACAAGTAAATTATTCTAATGAATGTGGTTGGAGGCAAGTGATTCTCTTTACTGTGTAATTTATCTCACCTGTGGTAAGTTTCAGGTGCCTACAGAGTAAAATAGCCATTCAACCAGTTTTGAAAAGAGAAAACAGAACATTCTGCTCCATTGCACTTCACTGTAAAGTGCAATAATATATTTGACCGCATCTGTACACACTGTACATACTCAGAGACACACTATCATACACAGACTACTCTCATAGGTTGTTTTTCAATCACACAGTTCCCAATGTAATGCACTACTTTTGTCCAGGCCTATAGGGTGTCATATAAACATTTACCCATAATTAATTCAGAGGTCAAGGGTCAGAGATGGTTCACTGGGTAGCAGACAGACAGGGTCTGTTTTCGACCACTCAAAAGTTGATGTCCTTACATAATCTCCATGAGCAATCAGCTGACAAACAAATGATGAGTAAAGCCTTTATGTAAGGGTTGTTTTTGAGAGGTTGGCCATGAGAGCACTGTTAAGAGCTGCTGTTAATCCTCCTCAGGTCCTCTGTGAGTTGCTGCCAGACAGTGTGTGTCTGTGTGTCTGTGTGTGTGTGTTCGTGTTTGTGTGTGTGTGTGGACCGGCGTGTGGGTGGATGTATTAAGAGTACCATATGCAGTAAACAAACCTGAATAAAGGCTGAATTATTAGTTTGATTCCCTAGACTTGCACTCTAATTTAAGAACTGAACAATACCAGCTTCATAGATAACTGTCATTGTCATACAGTGGGGAAAAAAAGTATTTAGTCAGCCACCAATTGTGCAAGTTCTCCCACTTAAAAAGATGAGAGAGGCCTGTAATTTTCATCATAGGTACACGTCAACTATGACAGACAAATTGAGAAGAAAAAAATCCAGAAAATCACATTGTAGGATTTTTAATGAATTTATTTGCAAATTATGGTGGAAAATAAGTATTTGGTCACCTGTAACTTCTTCTTTAAGAGGCTCCTCTGTCCTCCACTCGTTACCTGTATTAATGGCACCTGTTTGAACTTGTTATCAGTATAAAATATACCTGTCCACAGCCTCAAACAGTCACACTCCAAACTCCACTATGGCCAAGACCAAAGAGCTGTCAAAGGACACCAGAAACAAAATTGTAGACCTGCACCAGGCTGGGAAGACTGAATCTGCAACAGGTAAGCAGCTTGGTTTGAAGAAATCAACTGTGGGAGCAATTATTAGGAAATGGAAGACATACAAGACCACTGATAATCTCCCTCGATCTGGGGCTCCACGCAAGATCTCACCCCGTGGGGTCAAAATGATCACAAGAACGGTGAGCAAAAATCCCAGAACCACACAGGGGGACCTAGTGAATGACCTGCAGAGAGCTGGGACCAAAGTAACAAAGCCTACCATCAGTAACACACTACGCCGCCAGGGACTCAAATCCTGCAGTGCCAGACGTGTCCCCCTGCTTAAGCCAGTACATGTCCAGGCCCGTCTGAAGTTTGCTAGAGTGCATTTGGATGATCCAGAAGAGGATTGGGAGAATGTCATATGGTCAGATTAAACCAAAATAGAACTTTTTGGTAAAAACTCAACTCGTCGTGTTTGGAGGACAAAGAATGCTGAGTTGCATCCAAAGAACACCATACCTACTGTGAAGCATGGGGGTGGAAACATCATGCTTTGGGGCTGTTTTTCTGCAAAGGGACCAGGACGACTGATCCGTGTAAAGGAAAGAATGAATGGGGCCATGTATCGTGAGATTTTGAGTGAAAACCTCCTTCCATCAGCAAGGGCATTGAAGATGAAACGTGGCTGGGTCTTTCAGCAAGACAATGATCCCAAACACACCGCCCGGGCAACGAAGGAGTGGCTTCATAAGAAGCATTTCAAGGTCCTGGAGTGGCCTAGCCAGTCTCCAGATCTCAACCCCATAGAAAATCTTTGGAGGGAGTTGAAAGTCTGTGTTGCCCAGCGACAGCCCCAAAACATCACTGCTCTAGAGGAGATCTGCATGGAGGAATGGGCCAAAATACCAGCAACAGTGTGTGAAAACCTTGTGAAGACTTACAGAAAACGTTTGACCTGTGTCATTGCCAACAAAGGGTATATAACAAAGTATTGAGAAACTTTTGTTATTGACCAAATACTTATTTTCCACCATAATTTGCAAATAAATTCATAAAAAATCCTACAATGTGATTTTCTGGATTTTTTTTCATTTCAATCTCATTTTGTCTGTCATAGTTGACGTGTACCTATGATGAAAATTACAGGCCTCTCTCATCTTTTTAAGTGGGAGAACTTGCACAATTGGTGGCTGACTAAATACTTTTTTCCCCCACTGTATATAATATGACACCAGATACAAACATCATACTCACCCACATGTATTGTCCAGTCAAAGGGATTAGAATGAAGAATGATCTAATGGTTAATTCCAGGTGCTACTTCTTTTTCAGGTCTCCGTTCGCAGCAGTGGCAGACTACTCCATTACAAGAAACAATGTGATTCAGTTGTGTCTAGAGCTCACCACGATTGTACAGCAGGTAAGCAAGCCATCAAACACAGTCACATATACAGCTGTACCACTAGCTAGCGTTAACCACTGTTTGTTTTTCCCAAAACTGGATTATTAACGAAAATGTCTCAAAGGCCTTTTTAAATTTAGTTAGTTTACACAGGACCTGTGTTCTCTGCTCTGGTATTGGAAATAACTGTATGTGTCATCATGCTCACTGAGCAAAGACAGCCTCAGGCTACTCAAATGTAGCCTTTCCCTTTGTAAAGAGCATGACAGCCTGCCTGCCTACCATACAGTATGTGTGCACGCTGGGAGGATGTGGATGTGTTTCTCTGTGTTGCTCTAATTCCTACTGCGGGAGCAGAACTGAACTGTTCCAATAGATATAAATAGGGGAAGGCTGTGACTGTGTAGAGGCATCCGTCTTCACTAGAGCAGGACAACGTACTGTAGGGGGAGGGCTGCAGGGAGGGAGGGTTAGTTCAGCCCTGGTCCTGGAGGGATTGGCACGGGGACAGGCTCTACCGCCACGATTGCGTGTTCAGACAGCCAGGCACATACGAGAGGGCCTGGTCCAAGGCTGCAGAGGTGTTCCAAAAGAGCAGCAGGTAGCGCAGCAGAGGTTTCATCCGTGTGTGGCTGTCTGTAGAGTCTATCTGATGGCAAGGAGATATCGTCTGTAGAGAGAGAGAAGGAGCGGAGAGAGGGACGCATGCCCCCGACAAGGCAGAGTGACGCATGGCGGACTGTTTGTGTGTGTTTGTGTGTGTGTCTGTGTGGGAGGGGGGGCATCAGTGCTGAACCTCTCTGTTCTTTACATATAGCCACCTTGTTATAACTGGAATAATGATCACTTCTCTGACACATTGTCCTGTGGTAACCTCTGCCTCTCCATCTCCCTCTGTTTGGCAGGACTGTTCTGTGTATGAGACAGAAAATAAGATTCTGCATGTGGTGAGTGGGCCCACTTATTTCCATTCCCTTCAATGCATCCAAACAGAATTAGAGTCCCCATAACTCAGTCTGGCGACTCATCCCTAAAATCACTGTTTTCGCTCTCTCCCTACTCTCCATCCTTCCCTTCTACAGTGCAAGACTCTATCTGGAGTGTGTGATCACATCATCTCTCTGTCCTCTGACCCGATGGTGTCCCAGTCAGCCCATTTGGAGGTGGTTCAGCTGGCCAATATCAAGTCCACTGAGGGACTGGTAAGACTCCCCAGATACTCAGATGTACAGACTAGAAGGTCTTGTGCCTTTTACTTACCTTCGCTCTTTCTCTCTCTAACACAACAACAACAACAACAAAACATGCACTCCTTCTGGGTAATAGATCACTCTTCTGGGTGATAGATTTCAGAAAGTAACTACTATGTGTTTACTTAGTAGCTTTCTCCTGTACAGTATGTGGACATAAGCCGTTATCTAAAACCTGCATGTTTGCTCTAACTTGCACTTAGATATGACTGTCCTACTTGGGGCTGTAAACTTCCACCCCCACACATACACAAATGCACAGAGCACACAGAGGGTCACAGAGCACACAGAGGGCAACAGAGCTTTTCACATACAGAACGGTCAATAGAACCTGAACAGAGGAGTGGGCAGAGTGGGACAAAAATAAACCTCTTACTCTCTTCTCACTCTGAGATGCACTGAATGTGTGTGTGTGTGTGTGCACACGCATGCGTTTCTGTGTGTCCATTTGTTATGCACTTACAGCCCCTCTGAGGGAAGGCTTGAACATTTAAGTATGTTTGTCTGTTTGCCTCTCTACGAGTGACAGTGTCCGATTGAATATGTACAATATGGATGTGTTTTATGTCACTTTGTACTGTATGCATTTATGTGTTTGTTGTTGTAATGTACTGTATATGGATGTGCAAACTATTCTCAGGCTATGGCTCTAAGCTACCTCTCTCTGTCTCTCTATAGGGGATGTATATCAAATCGACATATGATGGCTTGCATGTCATCACTGGAACTACAGAGGGAGTGAGTATTGATCTTTAACATGCTCAGTCAGAGCTATGAAGGACTTTGGCACGTAGATCACTCTCCTATGATAGAGAGGGAGAAGTGTCACTCAAGGCTGTGTCACAGTGAATCTCCTTAATGACAGTGAACAGCATCAGGCCCATCAGTGTTTTTATAGCTGTGTTATGTGTCTCTTCCTCTCCATCAGTCTCTGGCTGACCGCTGTAAGAAAATTCATGCAGGCGATGAAGTCATCCAGGTCAATCATCAGACAGTGGTGCGTCTCTCTCTCTTTTCATACCTTTTTTTAACCTTTATTTAACCGGGAAGAAACCCATTGAGTCACAGGGTATTTTTTTGCAAGGGCGACCTGGCCAAGAAAGCAGTAGTGGTCAATACAACATTTAGGGTGTTCACCCATGAAAGGATTCATTCATTCAAGGTTTATACAAATATGTCCATTCAATAGAGAATTCCGTCAGAAAAACAATAGTCCAAACCCCATGTATTTACCATATATGGTTCAAACGTTACAGACGATTTACTCTGAGAATTTAGCATGTTTAGAGTGAATGGAATGTCATCACAGGTATGATAAAAAAGTGGTCACTGCTCAATAGAAGTCTGTGGCGCTTCTCCGCGGCAGAACGGCGCTAACTTCGAATGTCAACTGACAAGCTAACTAGTGTCTGCAGGTTAGTGAGTGAAAACATGGGCTTTTTCTAAATGAAATCTGCTGACTACAAAACTAAATAGGGACTAAATATATATTTATTTACAAAGCAAAGAGATTGAATTTCAATATCCACACTCCGCGTTCCTGTTTTCATTGTGTATTTCTGAGTCTTTCCCTTTAAATCTCCATAGAAACGCCCCCTCTCAACGTAGATTGATTGCCATTATAGGCATTGAAAGCCAAGGATCTGGAGGTGAAAATGACGAAGTTATCAAGTTGATTTTGATTGATCCAACCAGCGGAAACACCTCCAAATGGTACCACCTCACAACGCCAAATATGGAAGAGATATAACCAAGAGCGTCGCAGTCTAAACTAGCAACGGTCACAGCAAATTAACATTCTTATTTCATCAACACTGTCAAGTACAAGTATATAAAGGTTATAATATTGTAGAGAACAATCTAATGGTTCATTCTATGTAATTTATAGTGACATAGGGTAAAGAAAACTACATTTTGACAGAATTTTGTAGCACCCTCTTGAATTGCTACGTTTTTCTCTACATTGTACAGTAGTGAGTGAACGCCCTACACCATTACACAATTTACAATACAAACAGCACAACAACACGTCATTAAGAGCTCATCCAGCCTACAGAAAACATTTTTAAAATGCTAACCTTCTCTGGCTGAGAGCGAGCTCTGGTGAAGGTAATGAATTTTGTTAAAAAAATATATATATCTCCCTGTCCATCCCCTTTATCTTACGTTTACATACTGGTATAGGACTACCCTATGACTACTACTATGCTCGTGCGAAATTTTGCCCTATGTGTTTTTCATTGTATGTGTGTGTGTGTTTGTTGGCTTTTGGCGCTAGGTGGGCTGGCAGTTGAAGAACCTGGTGAATTCTTTGCGTGGGGACCCCGGGGGTGTTACACTGACTCTGAAGAAGCGCCCACAGAGCACACTCACATCCACCCCAGCACTACTGAAGAACATGAGATGGAAACCCTTAGCCCTGCAAGTATGACAACACTTTCACTTTCAACCTCCACACAACTGATGAACGGGTGTACGTTTGGCTGAATGTGAAATCACACACGATTCCCTTTATAGTGGTTCCTTTATTTATGTATTTCTTTTTTAGGGGGTAGATCAGCTTTAATATTGCAGATAGATTGTGGCTTCTATCAATGTAATTGTCTGCATAATTTCCAATCCCCCATATATTTTTGGGTAAAATATTAAATAAATATTTGTACAGTGCATTCGGAAAGTATTCAGACCCCTTTACTCATATTTACATAAGTATTCAGACCCTTTACTCAGTACTTTGTTGAAACACCTTTGTCCGGGCTCTGGCTGGTCCACTCAAGGACATTCAGAGACTTGTCCCGAAGCCACTCCTGCGTTGTCTTGGCTGTGTGATTAGGGTCGTTGTCCTGTTGGAAGGTGAACCTTCGTCCCAGTCTGAGGTCCTGAGCACTCGGGAGCAGGTTTTCATCAAAGATCTCTCTGTACTTTGCTCCGTTCATCTTTCCCTCGATCCTGACTAGTCTCCCAGTCCCTGCCGCTGAAAAACATCCCAACAGCATGATGCTGCCCCCACCATGCTTCACCGTAGGGATGGTGCCAGGTTTCCTCCAGACGTGACGCTTGGCATTTAGGCAAAAGAGTTCAATCTTGGTTTCATCAGACCAGAGAATCTTGTTTCTCATGGTCTGAGTCGTTTAGGTGCCTTTTGGCAAACTCCAAGTGGGCTGTCATGTGCCTTTTACTGAGGATTGGCTTCCGTCTGGCCACTCTACCATTACAGGCCTGATTGGTGGAGTGCTGCAGAGATGGTTGTCCTTTTGGAAGGTGCTCCCATCTCCACAGAGGAACTCTGGAGCTTTGTCAGAGTGACCATTGGGTTCTTGGTCACCTCCATGACCAATACTTTTCTCCCCCGATTGCTCAGTTTGGCCGGGCTGCCTGCTCTAGGAAGAGTTTTGGTGGTTTAAACTTCTTCTATTTAAGAATGATATAGGCGACTGTGTTTTTGTGAACCTTCAATGCTGCAGACATTTTTTGGTACCCTTCTCCAGATCTGTGCCTCGACACAAACCTGTCTCTGAGCTCTAAGGACAATTCCTTCGACCTTATGGCTTGGTTTTTGCTTTGGCATGCACTGTCAACTGTGGGACCTTATATAGACAGGTGTGTGCCTTTCCAAATCATGTCCAATCAATTGAATTTACCACAGGTGGACTCCAATCAAGTTTTAGAAACATCTCAAGGATGATCAATGGAAACCAAGATGCACCTGAGCTCAATTTCGAGTGTCATAGCAAAGGGTCTGAATACTTACCCTACCAGTCAAAAGTTTTAGAACACCTACTCATTCAAGGGTTTTTCTTTATTTTTCCTATTTTCTACATTGTAGAATAATAGTGAACACATCAAAACTGTGAAATAACACATATGGAATCATGTAGTAACCAAAAAAGTGTTAAACAAATCAAGACTTCAAGACTGTTGGAAAAGCATTCCAGGGGAAGCTGGTTGAGAGAATGCCATGAGTGTGCAAAGCTGTCATCAAGCAAAGAGTGTCTATTTGAAGAATCTCAAATATAAAATATATTTTGATTTTTTTAACACTTTTTTGGTTACTACATGATTCCATATGTGTTATATCATAGTTGTGATGTCTTCACTATTATTCTACAATGTAGAAAATAAAGAAAAACCCTTGAATGAGTAGGTGTTCTAAAACTTTTGACTGGTAGTGTATGTAAATAAGGTATTTCTGCTTTAAAAAATGTATACATTTGCAAACATTTCTAAAAACCTATTTTCACTTTGTCATTATAGGATATTGTGTGTAGATTTCTAAGGATTTTGTATTTATTTAATCAATTTTAGATTAAGGCTAAAACGTAACAAAATGTGGAAAAAGTCAGGGGGTCTGAATACTTTCCGAAGGCGCTGTAAATAGGCCCATTTAATTTTGTCTGGCTTGCCGTTCAAAATAAAATTGAATATTTTTTGCTCATATCATTTAAAAAACGAGTCGTTAGGTGTAGGCAGGGCCATAAGCAAATAGGTAAACTGGGATATAACTCAGGGTGATTTTTCTACAAATAGACAGGTATTTTCCTTTCCATGGTAGCAATATCTTATCTATTTTTGCTAACTTTCTATTAAAATGTATTGTAGTGAGATCATTTCTTTCTTTCGGGATATGTATACCGAGTATGTACACATCCCCATCAGACCATTTTATTGGCATTAAAGTTAAAAACAATTGTGATCCAATATGTATCATAATTTTGTTGTAATCCAGAGAGGTTAGAAAAATTATCTAGATCCTATATGAGGCTGTGGAGGGACCCAAATTGTGGATTTAAAAGAAAACATGAATCATCAGCGTACAACGACACCTTTGTTTTTAAGCCCTGGATTTCTAGCCCCTTGATATTATTGTTGGATCTGATTTTAATAGCTAACATTTTGATGGCCATAATAAATCGATATGCCGATAGTGGACAACCTTGTTTTACCCCTCTTGACAGTTTAATACTTTCTGAGAAGAAGCCAATATTTACTATTTTATATCTAGGGTTACTATACATAACTTTAACCCATTGTATAAGAGATTCTCCAAAATTGAAATATTCCAGGCATTTATATATAAATTCCAGTCGTACTTTATGAAAAGCTTTTTCAAAGTCAACTATGAATACCAGGCCTGGTTTCTCAGATTTTTCATTGTGTTCTATTGTTTCCAGTACTTGTCTTACAGTGCATTCGGAAAGTATTCAGACCCCTTCCCTTTTTCCACATTCTGTTACATTACAGCCTCATTCTAAAATGTATTAAATTGTTTTTCCTCATCAATCTACACACAATACCCCATAATGACAATGCGAAAACAGGTTTATAGATTTTTTTGCAAATTTATAAAAAATGTAATACAGAAATACCTTATTTACATAAGTAGTCAGACCCTTTGCTATTAGACTCACACCTGTCTATATAAGGTCCAACAGATACCAGTGTATGTCAGAGCAAAAACCAAGCCACAGGATTGTGTCGAAGCACAGATCTGGGGAAGGGTACCAAAACATTTCTGCAGCATTGAAAGTCCCCAAGAACACAGTGGCCTCCATCATTCTTAAATGGAAGAAGCACTGTATATTATCTCCAATGTATCGTCCATGTAAAAAACCTGTCTGATTAGGATGAATAATATCCGACAGTGCCTTTTTAATTCTATGCGCTATGCATTTTGCTAGAATTTTTTTGAATCACAACACTGAAGTGTAAGGGGCCTCCAATTTTTCTTATGGACTGGAGATTTATATTTACCACCTGGGTCCTGTTTCAGTAATAGTGAAATCAGACCTTCTTGTTGAGTATCTGATAATCTACCATTTTTATAGGAGTGGTTAAAACCTGCTAATAACGGTCCTCTGAGTACATCAAAAAAGGTTTGATATACCTTAACTGATATGCCATCCAGCCCTGGAGTTTTCCCGGACTTAAAGGCTTTAATTGCATCAAGAAGTTCCTCCTTTGTAGTGGTTCCTTTATAGTATACAGTGGGGGAAAAAAGTATTTAGTCAGCCACCAATTGTGCAAGTTCTCCCACTTAAAAAGATGAGAGAGGCCTGTAACTTTCATCATAGGTACACGTCAACTATGACAGACAAAATGAGATTTTTTTTCTCCAGAAAATCACATTGTAGGATTTTTAATGAATTTATTTGCAAATTATGGTGGAAAATAAGTATTTGGTCAATAACAAAAGTTTCTCAATACTTTGTTATATACCCTTTGTTGGCAATGACACAGGTCAAACGTTTTCTGTAAGTCTTCACAAGGTTTTCACACACTGTTGCTGGTATTTTGGCCCATTCCTCCATGCAGATCTCCTCTAGAGCAGTGATGTTTTGGGGTTGTCGCTGGGCAACACAGACTTTCAACTCCCTCCAAAGATTTTCTATGGGGTTGAGATCTGGAGACTGGCTAGGCCACTCCAGGACTTTGAAATGCTTCTTACGAACCACTCCTTCGTTGCCTGGGTGGTGTGTTTGGGATCATTGTCATGCTGAAGACCCAGCCACGTTTCATCTTTCAATGCCCTTGCTGATGGAGGTTTTCACTCAAAATCTCACGATACATGGCCCCATTCATTCTTTCCTTTACACGGATCAGTCGTCCTGGTCCCTTTGCAGAAAAACAGCCCCAAAGCATGATGTTTCCACCCCCATGCTTCACAGTAGGTATGGTGTTCTTTGGATGCAACTCAGCATTCTTTGTCCTCCAAACACGACGAGTTGAGTTTTTACCAAAAAGTTATATTTTGGTTTCATCTGACCATATGACATTCTCCCAATCCTCTTCTGGATCATCCAAATGCACTCTAGCAAACTTCAGACGAGCCTGGACATGTACTGGCTTAAGCAGGGGGACACGTCTGGCACTGCAGGATTTGAGTCCCTGGCGGCGTAGTGTGTTACTGATGGTAGGCTTTGTTACTTTGGTCCCAGCTCTCTGCAGGTCATTCACTAGGTCCCCCCGTGTGTTTCTGGGATTTTTGCTCACCGTTCTTGTGATCATTCTGACCCCACGGGGTGAGATCTTGCGTGGAGCCCCAGATCGAGGGAGATTATCAGTGGTCTTGTATGTCTTCCATTTCCTAATAATTGCTCCCACAGTTGATTTCTTCAAACCAAGCTGCTTACCTATTGCAGATTCAGTCTTCCCAGCCTGGTGCAGGTCTACAATTTTGTTTCTGGTGTCCTTTGACAGCTCTTTGGTCTTGGCCATAGTGGAGTTTGGAGTGTGACTGTTTGAGGTTGTGGACAGGTGTCTTTTATACTGATAACAAGTTCAAACAGGTGCCATTAATACAGGTAACGAGTGGAGGACAGAGGAGCCTCTTAAAGAAGAAGTTACAGGTCTGTGAGAGCCAGAAATCTTGCTTGTTTGTAGGTGACCAAATACTTATTTTCCACCATAATTTGCAAATAAATTCATAAAAAATCCTACAATGTGATTTTCTGGATTTTTTTCTTCTCAATTTGTCTGTCATAGTTGACGTGTACCTATGATGAAAATTACAGGCCTCTCTCATCTTTTTAAGTGGGAGAACTTGCACAATTGGTAGCTGACTAAATACTATTTTCCCCCACTGTATGTATGTATGTGTGTTAGGAGAGTGTACAGTATGTTAAGCATATATATTTATTTCATAAACTGGATATCGTAAAACTGGTATGTCAGAACAAAATGTAAGGAGATACCATTTCAACTTCAGTGTTGTGCCTCAGAGATTTCTGAACGTATAAACACTCCAAAACTGGGTGAACATAGATAGTTAATGGCTGCAGGGCAGAATCTCTCTCTTATAATAAAAAGAAACTGGTGCACAGAGACAGACAGACAGGCAAGGACTGGCAATAATAAACCAGTACTGTAAATTGTGAAGCATTGATCAGAAACACGTGTCTATTTTTGTATGCATGCTATCTATCCAAATGTTTGTAAATGGTTTTGTATTCCGATGTGTGTGTGAGATCTGGAGACTGCTGGTGTGAACCCATCATCCACATTGTGTTTCTAAGAAATATTTAACATTTTAAGTAAAAGCAACAGAAGAAAGTGCACAATTGGTGGCTGACTTAATACTTTTTTTCCCCACTGTATATGGAATAGGGTGGCATTTCAGACACAGCCTGAGGACTCTATTTTCAGCTGGCACTAATGCGGTTCAAGTGTCAAACACATGTTAGTTGAGAATTTCGGTATGTAAAAACTGGCGCTTTGGTATTTTAAACCCTTGTGCCAGGTTCGTCAATTTACCTGTCTAACATCAGCTCACTTGCGCTGAGCTGGGAGGGGTGACAATATTTGAGGCGTGTAAATATTTGAGGCAATTACAACAATGTTGACTGCCAACACTCCAAACATATTGAGCACTGGAACACTGGATGTTTTTTTTACTCTTGCTATTACAGTGGCTTGCGAAAGTATTCACCCCCATTGGCATTTTTCCTATTTTGTTGCCTTACAACCTGGAATTAAAATTAATTTTGGGGGGATTTGTATCATTTGATTTACACAACATGCCTATCACTTTGAAGATGCAAAATATTTTTGTTATTATGAAACAAACAAGAAATAAGACAAAAAAACAGAACTTGAGTGGGCATAACTATTCACCCCCCCAAAGTCAATACTTTGTAGAGCCACCTTTTGCAGCAACTACAGCTGCAAGTCTCTTGGGGTACGTCTCTATAAGCTTGGCACATCTAGCCACTGGGATTTTTGCCCATTCTTCAAAACAAAACTGCTCCAGCTCCTTCAAGTTGGATGGGTTCCGCTGGTGTACAGCAATCTTTAAGTCATACCACAGATTCTCAATTGGATTGAGGTCTGGGCTTTGATTAGGCCATTCCAAGACATTTAAATGTTTCCCCTTAAACCACTCAAGTGTTGCTATAGCAGTATGCTTAGGGTCATTGTCCTGCTGGAAGGTGAACCTCTGTCCCAGTCTCAAATCTCTGGAAGACTGAAACAGGTTTCCCTCAAGAATTTCCCTGTATTTAGCGCCATCCATCATTCCTTCAATTCTGACCAGTTTCCCAGTCCCTGACGATGGAAATACATCCCCACAGCATGATGCTGCCACCACCAAGCTTCACTGTGGGGATGGTGTTCTTGGGGTGATGAGAGGTGTTGGGTTTGCGTCAGACATAGCGTTTTCCTTGATGGCCAAAAAGCTCAATTTTAGTCTCATCTGACCAGAGTACCTTCTTCCATATGTTTGGGGAGTCTCCCACATGCCTTTTGGCGAACACCAAAGGTGTTTGCTTATTTTTTTCTTTAAGCAATGGCTTTTTTCTGGCCACTCTTCCGTAACGCCCAGCTCTGTGGAGTGTACGGCTTAAAGTGGTCCTATGGAGAGATACTCCAATCTCCACTGTGGAGCTTTGCAGCTCCTTCAGGGTTATCTTTGGTCTCTTTGTTGCCTCTCTGATTAATGCCCTCCTTGCCTGGTCCGTGTGTTTTGGTGGGCGGCCCTCTGTTGGCAGGTTTGTTGTGGTGCCATATTCTTTCCATTTTTTAATAATGGATTTAATGGTGCTCCGTGGGATGTTCAAAGTTTCAGATATTTTTTTATAACCCAACCCTCATCTGTACTTCTCCACAACTTTGTCCCTGACCTGTTTGGAGAGCTCCTTGGTCTTCATGGTGCCGCTTGCTTGGTGGTGCCCCTTGTTTAGTGGTGTTGCAGACTCTGGGGCCTTTCAGAACAGGTGTATATATACTGAGATCATGTGACAGATAATGTGACACTTAGATTGCACACAGGTTAACTTTATTTAACTAATTATGTGACTTCTGAAGGTAATTGGTTGCACCAGATCTTATTTAGGGGCTTCATAGCAAAGGGGGTGAATACATATGCACGCACCACTTTGCCGTTATTTATTTTTTAGAATTTTTTTAAATAAGTTATTTTTTTCATTTCACTTCACCAATTTGGACTATTTTGTGTATGTCCATTACATGAAATCCAAATAAAAACCATTTAAATTACAGGTTGTAATGCAACAAAATAGGAAAAACGGCAAGGGGGATGAATACTTTTGCAAGGCACTGTACTCAATACTTTAGCTTATGCTATTTAATAAACCGTAGTTGGTATCATTCGACAATGGACTGGGATGAGAATATTCCATGCCCCAAGCAACTCAAAGACTGTCAATAACCTACACAACTTGAGACAACCTCATGCAGTATTATTAAGCCATGGAACACATTGATTGACCAGTGAGTGGCCAAGCCCTCGTCACACCTACAACTTGTTTATTCATCAAAACCCAGCCCTTTCAAGCCACCGCCAGCTATTGAGTTCATAATTCCCGCCGTGAAAATAGCAAAAATATTTCTGACACACCCAGGACCTATAGCGCTACCACCAGCGATAAGATTTACAATTGCGTTAGGTTTGTTAAAATAGAGCCATGTGTGTTAGTGAGATGTGATTTATGTACTGTATACCACTATCTTATCAGTGGGTTAATGACTGAGAGGGTATGTGAACTTTTGTATGTGCACAGTATGTGACTGATTGTGCATGGTGAGTATGCAAGCAGGAGAGTGCATTAAATGTTTGTGGGTTTTGTTAAAGCAGGGACTTTTTGTGAATGTGTCTGTCTGTGTGTGTCTGTCTGTCATATTTTGCCCCAAACAATTATTTAATATGGGTGTTGTATGTGACTATATCCCTGCCCCCCTCTGAGTCCCACACTGGTCTAAGTGCTGTTTCCCTCCCTCCCCCTGGGGCCTTGACCAACTGGAGTGCATCAGAGCTCTGCCGCCTCCTGATCCCCCCGCTCCTCTCCTCCCTCTTCTCCTTTACCTCTATTCTGCAATCTCTCTTCTCCTCTCCCTACCATCCTCCTCCTCGTTTCATCATATATCCAGATTCAGTTATTGACTTATGCTTTGAATTTATAATTCATCAAATGCAAAGGTTCAAATCAATTTTCCATTCCCTAAACCTGCCTCTAGCCATTCTCCAATCGAGAAACAAGACTAGCATTTCCCACATATTGAAGCTTTAATGGTTTGATTGATCATCGTCTATTATGAAACTACACATCTCTCTCCCCCCTCTTTCTCTCTCTCTCCTCACAGCCCATCATCCCTCAGAGCCCCAGCAGCAGTGTGGCCACACCCACCAGTACCCTGAGCACCCCGTCCAGGAGGGACAGCTGTGCCCTGCAGGACCTCTTCATCCCCCCGCCCCCTGAGGAACCATACACCCCCAGGTACACACACAAGCTGCCTCACTGTGACATCTGTATGCCTTTCCTTAGGGATTACACAGTGTAGTCATACTGTATGTTGTACTTTGAGTAAGTTTTATGTTATTATCTGCAGTGAAATATTATAGTGGTTTACCTGTGTAATTACTTCACTGTGTGAATTTAATCAGTTTGTTCCCTTTTGCGGGGTGATTTATGTGCCTTGTAGTATGTGACTTTGTTGAAGTTTACCCATGCAGTCGATGCTCCATAGGCGAACAGACTCTCTCCCTGATCTGTGCTGCAGAGACGACAAGGGAAATCTATCAGGTGACGACGACTTCCAAGCTGACATCCCGGTGGCCAAGGGCTCTGAGTCCCCCAACTCCTTCCTGGACCAGGAGTGTCGCCGACGTTTCCCTCTGGTGGAGGAGGATGCCGTTCTGTACTGCTACGAGTATGACCAGAACCACGGACTTCCACCTGTCCGCAGGGACAGCACCCCCACTTATGGTATGACCCAGTCCAAGCCTGCATATTTGTATGAGGGATGTCAGTCCCCCATATACTGTATGGTCCGACCCAGTCCAAGCCTGTTTGTATGTGGGATGTCTATCCCCCACAAATGTTATGACCCAGTCCAAGGCTGGTTTGTATGAGGGATGCCTGTGGTGCACTTCCTACAGATTTGATCACTCTTTTGTTACTGAGAATGTTCCTGCAAAGCAGGAAATGCAAACTTGTAGTGTATTTCGGTTTAAAAAATGCTTCAAAAGTTTGAAATTTCAGAGTTGATTTGCCCTAACAAAAAATGCATCAACCCCTACAAAAATGTCCATAAATTATAATAGACATAATAATTCACATTTCCTGTTGCTACAGGATTATTTTTCTGCTGTAGCAAACTGGCTCAAATTAAGATCCTACATCTGTATGCAATGCCTGCTGTGTTTGTGATGTTAGTGTTTGTGTCACTGTGGTGTTAATATAGGCTGTTTGTAGCTCTTAGATTTTTCTGGATAGGTCTGTAATGTTGTGTGTTATCTGTGCTGTGTGCTCCAGGCAGGCTTAGGCCCATCTCCATGCCAGTGGAATATAACTGGGTGGAAGACTATGAAGACCCGGCCAAGCTGAAGAGAGAGAGCAGGAGAGGTGAGTGGGAGGCCGGGATGGAGAGAAAGGGTGAGATAAAAAGAGAGGGGAGACAGAAAGAGAGAGATATAGCAGCAGAGATGAGTGGGTGGATATCTCTCATAATTGGGTTTTCTGCCTCCCCATCTCAGATGTCTTAGCCAAGGGACTGGGAAGCTGAGCAGCCATGCCAGGCAGGGCTCAGTGCATGATAGATATGATGCTGAATTAGCTATCCTCCTCTTTATCTGTCCCTCTTTATCTGACCCTTCTTTCTGTGTATCTTTGTTAGTCCCTCCTGCTCTCTCTCTCTCTTTCAATCTCACCCCTTTCTCTCTCTGCCTCTCTCTGCCTCTCTCTGCCTCTCTCTCTTTGCTTTTGGGTCTTGAAGGTATGTCGTTGCCTTGGCAACTGTAACCAGGATCTTCCCAAGATTTGCTTGGTTTGATTGGTTGCTGCCAGGCCTAGTGGCAAACAGAGTAGGAAGAGAGCGAATGGCCTTGGTTCAGTCTGAGAGGCAGCCACTGTGATGTTGTGTTTTTTATTCCCAAGGGGGTGGTGGCAGTCAGTCTATTGTTCCTGTGGGCTTTTCAGCATCAGTGAGGGTGCTATATTTATCTGCATATTTGGCAAGAGGCAGTATCAATACATATTGCCTGAAGGCAACATTTTTTTATATTTTCTAGGAAAATACCATGCAAATATCAGAATAATGACAGTCTCTGTTGGTTCAGTACAATAATGGGGTTTGAGTGAAGCCTCGTTATTTGTCTGAATGACAAGACAGAGTAAAACCTCAGAGCCCTAAAGCCGAATGCCTGGGCACACCACAGGATTACACAAAACATAAATTACACTGCCCAATGACATGACTCACAAAACTAGCCTATAAGAGTCAGATGGAGGACGTTCATCAATGGGCCTTGCTCTAGCCTCAAGGCCCTAATGACATGACAAAGCCCACAAGTCACACAACTGTGTATTTCCATCCAAGCAATCATTACACAATCTCTAGAATTGGCCTTTGGCTTGTTTTTCGCTGTTGTTTAAAATTTGTTGTAACAAAGTGACAGCACAATGAGTATTCAGTAGATACAAATTATGTACACATAGTAGGCCTATATAATCAAATGGCGTTAGACAAAGTGATCTAACTGCTGGCCTCCCCTGCTCCCGTAGAGAACTCCCTGCTGCGTTATGTGAGTCAGAGTGAGGACAAGGCCATGCCAGAGGAGTACCTGACAGGACGCAGCAGGAAGAAGAGTGACAAAGGCAGCCCCGCCCACTACGCCCTCCTCCCAGCCCTCCAGATGGAAGTCTCCACGTCCGGCTCCGACTCCGCCTCCCTCTACCATGTATGTCCCATTGTTCCCAGGCCCCTGAGACAACACTGACGTGTTTTTTGTTGTGATTATGATCAGATATTTAGAGGACTGAGCACAGTGGAGACAGATCAATGTGGATTGATCTCTCATTTTCCTGTGTGTTATTTTGTAGATGTTTGAACGATCCTCACTGCGCTCAAGGTCTAGGAAGAAGAGTAAAGGTGAGTTATTAAAAACCTACAGTCCACAACCCATGTACAGTTTCAAATATACACTACATACATAAATGTATGCTGATGCAAACCACCCAATACAGTCGTTTCATTGATACCCCTCTCCTCCCTGCAGTAGGTGACTCTTTGTCCTCCATCAGTAAGAGGCGTATCTCATGTAAGGACCTGGGGCGGGGGGACTGTGAGGGCTGGCTGTGGAAAAAGAAGGATGCTAAAAGCTACTTCTCCCAGAAGTGGAAGAAATACTGGTTCATCCTGAAAGATATCTGCCTATACTGGTACATGAATGAGGAGGTGAGTGTGTGAGTGACATTGACAGACTTGCTGATTTGTTGTACCATGAGTTCCTCTCTGCATCCTCTCTTGATTATCTTGTGAAAATGTGAACCATCCCGCTATATTTTTTGGAACTCAGAAAAGTATGTGTCAGAACAATATATGATATTATGTTTTTTACTCCCTCAGGATGAAAAGGCAGAGGGCTTTGTTAGTCTCCCAGAATTCAAGATTGATCGTGCATCTGAGTGCCGTAGGAAGTAGTGAGTACATGTATTTGTGTTTGTATACAATACATGAATGTGTGAGTCTTGTGGTCTGTTTGTCTGTGTGAACCTCGGCATGTGTTTGTTTGAATCTATTGAGAATGGAGTGTGAGTGTCTGTCTTTAAATACAAAATATGTACAGTATATGCAACCTGTGTTTGTGCCCCAGAATACTTACAGTTAGTGCTGAGCGATTAATCGACATTTCGTTTTTTTGTGTGGTTATTAAACAGCTAATTCACCGACGTCGGTTCAATTACTTGAATTCCATTTTGTTTTGTTTTTTTCAACGCACTTTCTCTAGAGAGAAATCATTCACGACAAAAATCAAGTAAAGATCTATGTGGGACGCTGGGCTAAAGGGAGTTGTAGTTTTCATTAAGCAAATATTCAACCTAGTTCAGCCCAGAAACTTTGTAATTAACTATAATCCATTGCGCCTGTTTTTTCCATTTCGGACGGAGATGGATCAAAATCTGTCCAAAATAAGCCCAATGCGTTTCTATGGGCTTATTTTGGATTTAAATGTGTCGCCTGCCTTCCTGCCTTTGGGACAACGACTCCCATGGTTAGGACGGAGACAAGAGCATCTCACCATTATATACAGATCTCTGGACGGATACTCTTTTACGCCTGCTACGTTAGGTTAGATCAGTGTTGCCATGTTCGCGGGTTTCCAGTAAAATTGGGCTACTTTGATAACAATGTCATGGATGAAAATGTATTGGCCGCGGGTTGCGGGTTTTTGGGCTATTTCTCTTTAAAAATATACAGTACCAGTCAATAGTTTGGACACACCTACTCATTCAAGGGTTTTCTTTATTTTTACTATTTTCTACATTGTAGAGTAATAGTGAAGACATCAAAACTATGAAATAACACATATGGAAACATGTAGTAACCAAAAAAGTGTTAAACAAATCAAAATATATTTTATATTTGAGATTCTTCAAATAGCCACCCATAGCTTTGATGACAGCTTTGCACACTCTTGGCATTCTCTCAACCAGCTTCACCTGGAATGCTTTTCCAACAGTCTTGAAGGAGTTCCTACATATGCTGAGCACTGTTGGCTGCTTTTCCTTCACTCTGCAGTTCAACTCATCCCAAACCATCTCAATTGGGTTGAGGTTGGATGATTGTGGAGGCCAGGTCATCTGATGCAGCACTCCATCACTCTCCTTCTTGGTCAAATAGCCCTTACACAGCCTGGAGGTGTGTTGGGTCATTGTCCTGTTGAAAAACAAATGATAGTCCCACTAAGTGCAAACCAGATGGGATGGCGTATCGCTGCAGAATGCTGTGGTAGTCATGCTGGTTAAGTGTGCCTTGAATTCTAAATAAATCGCAGACAGTGTCATCAGCAAAGCACCCCCACACCATCACACCTCCTCTTCCATGCTTCACGGTGCGAACCACACATGCAGAGATCATCCGTTCACCTACTCTGCGTCTCACAAAGACACAGCGGTTGGAACCAAAAATCTCAAATTTGGACTCATCAGACCAAAGGACAGATTTCCACCGGTCTAATGTCCATTGCTTGTGTTTCTTGGTCCAAGCAAGTCTCTTCTTCTTATTGGTGTCCTTTAGTAGTGGTTTCTTTGCAGCAATTCGACCATGAAGGCCTGATTCATGCAGTCTCCTCTGAACAGCTGATGTTGAGATGTGTCTGTTACTTGAACTCTGTGATGAGTAGGTGTTCTAAAACTTTTGACCGGTAGTGTATACCACGGATATGACAAAACATGACTTTTTACTGTTCTAATTACCTTGGTAACCAGTTTATAATAGCACATATTCAAACTCCTTTATTACGTCATGTCATAGCTTGCAATAGCTATTATTTTGAGGAAACCTGAATTTAGCTTCTAACGTCATTACAAGTTACTATGAAATTCCTTCTTAACTGGCTCGATAACGTTATGAAAAAAGGGTTTATTGTATAGATGTTTTGAGTGGTCATTGGGCTTGACATTTTAGCTTGACCTGGTAACCCTGGGTTAGATACACACAGACCACATGAGAGAGGAATGTACACAACACAATGAAGAACAAGTACAATTATTTCGTCAGACAGCTCTGCAGCATAGGCTACTTAGGCAGGCTAGCTAAATAGGATGACTAAAGACAGTACGGTATGGGGAGCACATACAGTTGAAGTCGGAAGTTTACATACACCTTAGCCAAATACATTTAAACTCAGTTTTTCACAATTCCTGACATTTAATCCTAGTATAAATGTCCTGTCTTAGGTCAGTTAGGATCACCACTTTATTTTAAGAATGTGAAATGTCAGAATAATAGTAGAGAGAATGATTTCTTTCAGCTTTTATTTCTTTCATCATATTCCCAGTGTGTCAGAAGTTTACATACACTCAATTAGTATTTGGTAGCATTGCCTTTAAATTGTTTAACTTGGGTCAAATGTTTCGGGTAGCCGTCCACAAGCTTCCCACAATAAGTTGGGTGAATTTTGGCCCATTGCTCCTGACAGAGCTGGTGTAACTGAGTCAGGTTTGTAGGCCTCCTTGCTCGCACACACTTTTTCAGTTCTGCCCATAAATGTTCTATAGGATTGAGGTCAGGGCTTTGTGATGGCCACTCCAATACCTTGACTTTGTTGTCCTTAAGCCATTTTGCCACAACTTTGGAAGTGTGCTTGGGGTCATTGTCCATTTGGAAGACCCATTTGCGACCAAGCTTTAACTTCCTGACTGATGTCTTGAGATGTTACTTCAATATATCCACATAATTTTCCTTCCTCATGATGCCATGTATTTGGTGAAGTGCACCAGTCCTTCCTGCAGCAAAGCACCCCCACAGCATGATGCTGCCACTCCCGTGCTTCACGGTTGGGATGGTGTTCTTCAGCTTGCAAGCAGCCCTCTTTTTCCTCCAAACATAAGTCATTATGGCCAAACAGTTCTATTTTTGTTTCATCAGACCAGAGGACATTTCTCCAAAAAGTACGATCTTTGTCCCCATGTGCAGTTGCAAACCGTAGTCTGGCTTTTTTATGGCGGTTTTGGAGCAGTGGCTTCTTCCTTGCTGAGCGGCCTTTCAGGTTATGTCGATATAGGACTTGTTTTACTGTGGATATAGATACTTGTGTACCTGTTTCCTCCAGCATCTTCACAAGGTCCTTTGCTGTTGTTCTGGGATTGATTTGCACTTTTCGCACCAAAGTACGTTCATCCCTAGGAGACAGAACGCGTCTCCTTCCTGAGCGGTATGACAGCTGCGTGATCCCATGGTGTTTATACTTGCGTACTATTGTTTGTACAGATGAACGTGGTACCTTCAGGTGTTTGGAAATTGCTCCCAAGGATGAACCAGACTTGTGGAGGTCTTGGCTGATTTCTTTTGATTTTCCCATGATGTCAAGCAAAGAGGCACTGAAATACATCCACAGGTACACTTCCAATTGACTCAAATTATGTCAATTAGCCTATCAGAAGCTTCTAAAGCTATGACATCATTTTCTGGAATTTTCCAAGCTGTTTAAAGGCATAGTCAACTTAGTGTATGTAAACTTCTGACCCACTGGAATTGTGATACAGAGAATTATAAGTGAAATAATCTGTATGTAAACAATTGTTGGAAAAATTACTTGTGTCATGCACAAAGTAGATGTCCTAACCGACTTGTCAAAACCATAGTTTGTTAACAAGAAATGTGTGGATGTCACGATCGTCGGATACAGAGGACCAAGGCGCAGCGTGGAAGGCGAACATACTTTTATTTATTAGAATAATCACCCGAACAAATCGATACGTGACGTCCTCGGTTCAAACACAAACCTACACTGGAACAAGATCCCACATAAAACAATGCCAACGGCTACCTAAGTATGGCTCCCAATCAGAGACAACGAGCTACAGCCGTCTCCGATTGGGAGCCACCCTGGCCAACATAGAAATACAAAACTAGAACAAACAAAGAAAACTCACACCCTGGCTCAACATACAAGCGTCCCCAGAGCCAGGGCGTGACAGTGGAGTGGTTGAAAAAATAGTTTAATGACTCCAACCTAAGTGTATGTAAACTTCCGACTTCAACTGTAGATAACGTTAGGTTTGGCGGCTAGTGCCTGAGCAGAGATGTAATACATATAACTGAAATATTTTATTATTTCATAGTAATTTCCTGTTTTTCTATTGATGTCTACCCAATGTGGACCTGGCAGAGACAATGGAATATTTTTAATGTTTTGGCAATTGAATGCTCACTATTTTTGGCTTTGGAATTCCCATTAAAAAGCTTTATTTCATAATGTATTTAATGTTTTTTTAAATGATCGAAACCGAAAACCGTAATTATTTTTTCATAATCGAAACCGAACCTAACCGACCTCAAAAAGCACTAACCGCTCAGCACTACTTACTGTATGGTATAATCTGTCCTTGACCGCATGTTTCTGTGTTCCAGTGCTTTCAAGGCCTGCCATCCAAAGATCAAAAGTTTCTACTTTGCAGCGGACAATGCGGATGACATGAACAGGTGAGAGTCACTGTCAGACATGATTACTGTAGCTGACACAGAGGGGGAGACAGGCAAAGACAAGGAGGTGAGACAGACTGACAGAAACCTGAAAAGTTTTGACAAATTGTGCTAGGCAGATGACCAGGTGAGCTGATGTGAGATGCAAAAACAGCAGGGGATAACAGAATGGTGTGTGGTGTGTGAGATCTGGAATGGGGTGTGGCTGCCACGTTTCATTAGTGTTGTTCCCACACAGGTGGCTGAGTCGTCTGACCATGGCAGTGGCAGGTTACTCGGAGCAGGAGAGGATCCGACAGGACCAGGGTGAGAATACATTAATACACATTAATATAGTTGACAGTAATAGAGGACAAGAGCTGCTTCGTTTGCCCTAGGTCTACTTTAGAAAAAAATAACACATTGTCTCTTTCTGATGGTGACGTGTCCTCTTTTCTGCTTCATCCTTATCATCACGACCAGACTACTGGAGTGAAAGTGACCATGAGGACATGGAGATGCCTTCCACCGTGCCCAAACAGGACAGCCCTCCTCCCCCCTATGACACCTACCCCAGGCCCCCCTCAGTAAGTCACTCTTTCTGTGAAAAGCTAGACAACAACTATTTGCATAGTTTTAATATGGACTCTTCCCTCTTTTCTAAGCCTCCTGTTATTTACATTATTGTTACAATGCCATTATATACCTCTCTAGCTGAGTCTCTTCCCTTTTTAAAATTTATAATTCTGGTATTTACATTAATTACCGTTACAATGCCATGACACCTCTCTGTCTGGCTCTCTGTAGGTGTCCCAAATGAGTCCGTACCAGGAGCCCAAACATGGCCGCCTTTCCTCCTCTGAGACCTTCCAGTCACGCTCATCTCATGAGGAGTTCCACCCCGAGCCACAGGAGGGCAGCAGCAGCGGAGGCGGCGTCTCGCCTGGCCAGAAGTCCTCCAGCCAACGGCGTTCGTGGCAGGACCTGATTGAGACGCCCCTGGGCAGCACGGGGCTCCACTACCTGCAGACACTGCCCCTGCCCCTGGAGGAGGCCCTGCTGCGCTCCCCTGGAGGAGGAGGTCTGTCTGTGGAGTACCGCCGCCAGTCAACCCTCCCTGCCCAGCGCAGCCTGCTGCAGGAACACTATGGCCCACTGCCCTTGCAACTCAGCCCCAGTGTCCCAGTAGAGGCTGGGGGGAAACCCCGTAGCTTCACCCTGCCCCGAGACAGTGGGCTCCATGCCATCCTCTCAGCCTCGGCCAGCACCTCTGACCACAGAGACCACCACCACTACCAGCTGGCCAGAGACACAGGTGAGACATTAGTGAGACATGACTGAGACACCGGACAAAGTCATGACAGCCATGACACCATGAGATGGAGAGACATGACACCATGAGACAGAGAAGAAAGAGTTGTGACAACAATCTTAACCCTACTCTCCCTGTTACATTCTAGGATAACTTGATGGGTAAAAATAGTTTTATATACTTAAATTGAAATTAGTACTTATAGGGTTATAACCTGGTAACCAGTGGTGAGTAATGTTGCTAATTATAGGCATTGTTCAGACGCAGTCTGTGTCACGGACGCTGATTGTCTGAGATTTAGACCCATCCCCCATCCCTACAGATCTCCAGGACACTATTCTAAAGTGAGGTGAAATCTTAGTGTCCTAATTGACACTAATTCATCCTGGCAGCCCGACTCCCTCCTCGATGTCTTACGCACACGCAGACACCCATACACACACACACACGCAGACACACACACGCAGACACACACACACACACGGCCATGATAGAGATGTCACTGTGCCCCACCGCAGTGTTTGGGGCGGTGGGGCGAGGAAGAATCCTTTCAGCCCATGTTAACGTTGAATTTTGAAGAGGACAAAGAAACATGCCCAAGGGGCCTTTTTTCCTGTCCTAATTTCTCTGCCGCTCTATTACTCACTGTCTCTACTGCTCCCTCTATAGACTCTAACACAAAAACACACAGCAAACACTGCATGATACACTTCAAGAGGCACAAGCCCCACAGCTTCACAACTGACCCCTGAAACACACAACAAGTATTGCAAATGCACAACATAGTATGACAACCAGCAGACACAAAACCTCTGGGACTGTTTGAGTCAACATACACTACATGGCCAAAAGTCTGCTCGTCGAACAACTCATTCCAGAATCATGGGCATTAATATGGAGTTGGTCCCCCCTTTGCTGCTATAACAGCCCCCACTCTTCTGGGAAGGCTTTCCACTAGATGTTGGAACATTGCTGCGGGGACTTGCTTCCATTCAGCCACAACAATGAGGTCAGGCACTGATGTTGGGTGATTAGGCCTGGCTCGCAGTCAGCGTTCCAGTTCATCCCAAAGGTGTTCGATGGGGTTGAGATCAGGGGGCTGTGCAGGCCAGTCAAGTTCTTCCACATCGATCTCGACAAACTATTTCTGTATGGACCTCGCTTTGTGCACGGGGGCATTGTCATGCTGAAACAGAAAAGGGCCTTCCCCAAACTGTTGCCACAAAGTTGGAAGCACAGAATAGTCTAGAATGTCATTGTATGCTGTAGCGTTAAGATTTCCCTTCACTGGAACTAAGGGGCCTAGCCCGAACCATGAGAAACAGCCCCAGACCATAATTCCTCCTCCACCAATCTTTACAGTTGGCACTGCATTGGGGCAGGTAGCGTTCTCATGGCATCCGCCAAACCCAGATTTGCCCGTCGGACTGCCAAATGGTGAAGCGTGATTCATCACTCCAAAGAACGCGTTTCCACTGCTCCAGAGTCCAATGGCGGTGAGCTTTACACCACACCAGCCGACGCTTGGCATTGCGCATGATGATCTTAGGCTTGTGTGCGGCTGCTCGGCCATGGAAACCCATTTCATGAAGCTCCCAACGAACAGTTCTTGTGCTGACGTTGCTTCCAGAGGCAGTTTGGAACTCGGTAGTGAGTGTTGCAACCGACGACAGACGATTTTTACGTGCTACGCACTTCAGCACTCGGCAGTCCTGTTCTGTGAGCTTATGTGGCCTACCAATTTGAGGCTGAGCCGTTGTTGCTCCTAGACGTTTCCACTTCACAATAACAGCACTTACAGTTGACAGGGGCAGCTCTAGAAAATTTGATGAACTGACTTGTTGGGACGGTGCCACGTCGAAAGTCACTGAGCTCTTCAGTACGGGCCATTCTACTACCAATGTTTGTCTATGGAGATTGCATGGCGGTGTGCTCGATGTTATACAACTGTCAGCAACGGGTGTGGCTAAAATAGCCAAATCCACTCATTTGAAAGGGGTGTCCACATACTTTTGGCCTTGTAGTGTAGCTTGCCAGATAAAATTTTCTTTTTACATTTTAGTCATTTAGCAGACGCTCTTATCCAGAGCGACTTACAGTTAGTGAGTGCATACATTTTTCATACAAAGAGCTATGTGACAATAGCACCATAAGAGGGCAGTATATGTAAAGGATAGCATGGAACATTCCACAGTAGCAGCTTACTGTGTGTGCTCTGCCTGCCTATGAGGAAATGCAGTACTGTGCTGAACTTCCAGGAGTGAGAGATCTTTATGCACATGCATATTGCTGTTGTTGTTGTATGTGGTGCCAGCCGGTGAATGCCACGTATTGTGACTCTGCTTGTCCTCAGGCTGTGAGAGGGAGGGCCGTCCCCAGGCTGACTCTCTGGGGGACCTGTACCGGGCCCTGGAGAGGGCCAACCTGTCCTCAATGGGAGACCACCAGCCCTCCGCCCGCCTGGAGTACAAACGCTCCTTCGTCCGCCGCGTCAATGACCCACTGCTCAGCGAAAAGCTGCACCGTCTCCACATCATACAGAGTGCGCTCAAGGTATGACCCTCTCTCTCTCTTTCTCGCTTCCCATCTCCCTCTCTCTCTCTCTCTCTCTCTCTCTCTCTCTCTCTCTCTCTCTCTCTCTACTGCACCTGCTGTCTGGAATGCTTGGCTATGAAAAGCCAACTGACATTTACTCCTGAGGTGCTGACACATTACACCCTCTATAGCCCCTGTGATTATTATTTGACTGTGCTGGTCATCTATAAACATTTGAAAATCTTGAAGACCGAGCTGGCCTTATTTGCCATGTACTCTTATAATCTCCATCCTGCACAGCCAGAAGAGGACTGGCCACCCCTTAGAGCCTGGTTCCTCTCTATGTTTCTTCCTAGATTCCTGCCTTTCTAGGGAGTTTTTCCTAGCCACCATTCTTCTAAATCTGCATTGCTTGCTGTTTGGGGGTTTTAGGCTGGGTTACTGTTAAAGCACTTTGTGACATCTGCTGGTGAAAAAAGGTCTTTATAAACAGGGGTGCACATAACTTTTTCAGTGAGTTACTCAGGTGAGTACCAGCAGATGGTGTCTGGTCTCACCCCATATGTAGCGTGGTCTTAATAAGTGAAGTCTTCCTCACTGTCCTCTTCAGTGTCGCCCCCACTGTCCTCTGCTTCAGCTTCCTGCATGGTAGATGATGAAGATGCTGCAGATGCACCTCCCTGTCCTTGGTTGAGCCTCCGATTAGCTGTCTCCATCCACAGGTCAACAGCAGGCTTTGGGTCAAATGTCTCTGTGGTCTGCTTTGACAGGTGAATGTGCATCAGGGCTGAGAGACGAGCATGTGACAGACAAGATCTGTACTTGGTTTTTATAATGTTGAGATGTGAGAATCCCCTCTCACAAGCTGCACTGCTTAAAGGCAGTGTAAGAGACAGCTTAACCACCTTGTTGATGTTGGAGTAAGCATCTGGGTTACTTGTATTTACTATTTGGACCAAGTCATACACAGAAGAGGCTCCCAGGCGTTTTCCTGCCTGCTTTAAGCACATCCATTCTGTCACAGTGGTATCTTTGTCAAGTTGCAAGGTGGCCTCATATTTCTTGAGAATGTTGCAAACTGTTGTGTTTCCAAATCTGTGGAGGTCTTGCATTTCCTGAGGCCATGTTGAAGGATCAAATACTAAGAAATGATCACATGACTTGAGGGAGTCATATCTGATTTCAAACTCTTCAATTAACCCCCTGAGTAAGTGTGTCTTGTCTCTGTCAGCATCAGCATTGGAAACAGTGTGTGCCCTGTGGCTTTCACCATCAAGCAGAAGTGTGAACTGTCCAATGGCCACCATGAGTTCATCCTTACATTCTCCAATGGTCAGCTTTTCCTTCTGAAACCTAATGGATGTGGTCTTCAAAATGTTGCAAATGTCAAGCATGTTTGACAGAAAGCACTGAAAACGCTCTGTGCAGATATGCTGCAAGTCACTGTTATCACTTGTAACCAGTTGCATTTTAATGGCTGGCAATAGTCTTGATATTTTTAACAGTGTTTCATGCCTCCATGCAGACCATCTGATATTATGAAACTTACCCAGTTTCACAAAGGAGATCCCATTTTCTTCACATAGCTTATTCAGTGCAGCAGTTTTTTGCTCCACCTTTTTGTAAATAAAACTGCAGCAGCTTGACCACAGAGCGATTAAATGTCTCACAGTAAGGAACGTTGCGATCAGCTGATTTCGCGCAATTCTCCAGTGTGTGTGCGGTGCACAGAATGTGCACAAGGGAGTCTCCAACCGCAGCAAGTTGCCGGAGTTTTGGCACAACGCCGTTGTAGATACCTACGTTGACAGCAGCCCCGTCTGTGCACACAGCGACCAACTTTGTTGTCCAGTCATCCAAGCCTGTGTCCTGGAAAAGTCTCACAAGTCCGTCTGTTATGGCCTGTGCGGTTCGGTCAGCACCCAATTCAATCAGTCCAATAAAGTCCGAAGTAAACTCTCCGTTGCTGGACACAGACACAATGTAAACGATTTCCTGCTCAGTTTTTGTGATGTCCTCAGATCCATCAAAAAGCAGCCCCCAAAATTCAGCAGACTGCAACTTGGCTCGTAACTCCCCGCTGATGGTGTGAGCGATGCTCTGCATGATCCGTGTGCCCCCTTCACGTGAATGATATGCACCTCCGACATTTACTCCTAGCCGCTTCAGTAAAGGAACATCCTCAGAATAGGAAGACATGGGACGTGCGTGTTTAGCTTTATGGACGGCGAGGAGAAAAATATTAAACAGAGCTTGCTGCTGTTCTTCATTTAGCTTGTCTCGCCATCTGGCAAGTGGGCGACTGGACATTTCTTCTCGGCTAGCTTGTTTAGCAATGGCTTGCGCCACATTCGTGTGCTCCTTGCTCTTTTCATGTTTGTCAAATAAAGAATGGTTGAAATTCTTTGAGCCTTTATAAAATGCACCTGTTTTGTCTGCTAGATGTGGATTTGAGAGGAAAATCTTGCACCACATTTCAGTGCGCTCATCGTTAGCTTCAAGCCACTGCAAATCTTGGAGCCACTTTTCCGAAAAAAGTATTTTCTTCGGCTCTGGCTCCAGTTGGCGTTTCTTTGTAGGTGGCGAAACGCCAAAGAAGCTGCTTAATGTCTGTTGCTTTTTGGACATCCCTGACAGTAGTTGACAAGCAACATGTCATGTGTAAGGTTAGATGAGAAGATCGGTCAAGTACGCAAAGGCGCGTAGTAACACAAGTGGCATTACGCATTCCTGATTTTTGTCGCGCTTGCGTACCTGCGTACCAGTTATGTGCACCCCTGTTTATAAAATATATTTGATTGATAGATGACAGGGCCTATAGAATATAGTGTGTGTACAGTGTGTGAACTGTTTATGTAGTGTATACAGTGTATCACATCTTAAATCATACTCTTCTTTCCCCCTGACAGAATGTCCCTCTTCAGGACTCTGACCCGTCGTTGGGTTTTTTAGGATAGCCTGTGTGGAACAGACCATGGACATCATAGTCACCCCATTCATCCTGCCAAGGGACGTGCCCTTACTGCCCTACCCCAGCCATTCCGTCATCCCTGGAAGACAGCCACAACAACCAGGGTTACCCCCCCTCTCTCTCTCTTTCACTCAATCTCACTCTCTCTCTCTGCACACCCACATCTACCTCTAAGGACCTTTCCTCATGCAAAATAGTTTGTTCAATGAGCAAAATAACCATAAAATATTAAATAGATGGGATGACACATTATCCAAGTTACATCGTGTAATTACAGTACTTAAACTCTGGTTCAATAATAGTGTTTTTCTCAATGACATTTTTAAAGGAAAGTTACAACATAAATTGCACTGGAGAATATAGTGAGGCCAGGATTCAATCAGATCAGCATTAACCCGCGTTAACCGACAAAAGCATAGCTTAATATTGCCTTTGTTTAGGCGGTGTGTCACGTCTACTCCTGATCCCCCTCTCCGGCGTTCGACGTCGCCGGTTTACTAACCACCGGTCCTGGCAACCATTATTACACGCACCTGGCATCAATCATTACTGCTCTTATGGTAATTGTCACGAAAACCACACCCGTCCTTATGTCCCACCTGCGTTAGAAGTTCAGAAGGAGAAAGTGTAGGCTATACAGAAATAATGACACTCAAATTGAAAATCATTTAACTAAATAATAAGGATTTCTATCAGCCTAATCGAGGTGTAGATTATATCACACATTCCAGTGTTCGAACTTGTAACACGGCTGCATGGGATTTCGTCTAACGCAGTTACACCTCCGACACGCCTAAACAAAAGCAATATTAAGCTATGCGTTTGTCGGTTAGTGCTGATCTGATTGAACCCTGGCCTGAGTTTTATGGTATTTTTTGCACAGTTCATTGCTGTTTTGCGTGAGGAAAATGTTGCACTATGTGTCTTTATACCCATCTCCCTCCACCTATTTTAGCAGCTCTTGGATGCACATTCATCTCATTCTGGGTTTCTGTCCACTCCATCTCTCTCTTTCTCAGAACATTGTCTGTGAAGGACAGTATTGTTTGACTTATTAAGAGTAATCTTCTAGAAGGCACATATGACATCCACAGCCATTTCTGGTTTGATGATATTGGATATTTCCACCCATCTGAAAGACTGAATTAGTGGGGCGCCCTTTAACTCACTGCTCACCTGCATGGCCATGTTAGAACCTTCTGCTTCTCTACAGGACTGTCTTTTCTGAAGACTATGCCAGGGTTGTGTACAGTAACACTACAATGAGTCTTGATCTTAAATGAACTATAATAAGCAATTGTATTTTTGATGTCTACAATGTTTATGTTATGCATGTGTGAATGGTAAATGAGTACAGTGGGGAAAAAAAGTATTTAGTCAGCCACCAATTGTGCAAGTTCTCCCACTTACAAAGATGAGAGAGGCCTGTAATTTTCATCATAAAAATCCAGAAAATCACATTGTAGGATTTTTAATGAATTTATTTGCAAATTATGGTGGAAAATAAGTATTTGGTCACCTACAAACAAGCAAGATTTCTGGCTCTCACAGACCTGTTGTCATGAGCCCTCTCACTCCACCGGGTTACCACCTTAATTTGTTTCCACTATCTTCCACTCTGCTCACCACTCTCTCTACTCAGCCTAACTAGCTCCACCTGTCCCTGCTCTGCTCTGCTCTAATTACTCTGCCAGCTGCGCTGCATTACCCACTAACCTCTCCCAGTATTTAAAGCCCTGTCTTTCAGCTCTCCTTTGTCAGATCGTCTGCAAAGCTCACACCCGGAACCTGTTTGCTCGCGCTTCTGGCTCACCCTTGTTTTGTGACCCCGGACCTGCCTGATTCTTGGATACTCTTCTGCCCCAGGAATACCAGACCTGCTTTCTGCCATAACGACTCCTGACTACTCTTCGATCCCGGACTTCTGGACCACCCACCACCGGCGTCATAGGACGCATCGCTGCCACTGGGGGGGGCACAGACCCAGCACATTGGACGGAATCCCTGTTATTCCCAGTAACCCCTGGAGCCTTCACTCACTCCCTACTTCCCTTTTCCCTTAAGTTTTAATAAACTTTCTGGTGTGACGCAATTGTGGTCCTCTGGTCGTCTGTCTGAACCGTGACAGTACGATCTGACCATCATGGACTCAGCGCACACTTCCCCCGACATGGAAACCGACGAACCTGAGCAACCCACCGCCATGCTACGCCTGGAACACACTGAGAGAGGGCTAGCCCGCATGAGCGGCGACATCACCTCTCTGCTTCAGGTCGGCCACCAACAGCATCAGCAGTTCCAGCAGCACCAGCAGCAGTTCCAGCAGCAGCAACAACAACTCGCCATGATCATCCAACTCCTCACCAACCTTACCCCAGCCACTCCGCCCACCGGCCCGTTTCCAGGCAGTCTGCCCACCAGCCCTGCCCCCGAGTTACCTGCCCCGGTCATTGCAGCCGCTGCTCCGGAACCCAAGATTGGAAACCCCGAGCGGTTCAACGGCGATTCAACCCAGGTCCGGCCATTCCTGACTAGCTGCCGACTTCAGTTCTCCTTGCAGCCAAGGACCTTCGCCACGGAGGGGGCTAAAGTTGGGTATGCCATCACTCACCTGACGGGCCGAGCTCGACTCTGGGGAACAGCAGAGTTTGAACATCAAACCCCCGCATGTGCAACCTTCGACCTGTTTGCTGAGGAGATGCTGAAGGTGTTTGACCTGGATTCACCAACCGCAGAGGCGTCTCGTGAACTGTTCAGTATTCGACAAGGCAGACGTACAGTCGCAGACCATTCCATCGACTTCCGAACCCTGGCAAGACGAAGTTCTTGGAACACACCATCGTTGGTGGACGCGTTCTTCCATAGCTTGGCTGACTATATCAAGGACGAGTTGGTCTCCCATGAACTGCCTTCCACTCTTGATGAAGCCATCGCACTGACTGTCCGGATCGACAGAAGGATACAGACCCGTCGTCGTGAGAGGGGGCGCCAAGGTCCACCAACTACCGGCATTCGGAGAGATCCGACTGGGCTCCTGTCATCTACTGCCACTCACCCAAGTCAGCTTGATCAGTCTGAGCCTATGGAGATTGGGCGAGCCTCTCTCACTCCTGCAGAGCGCCAGCGCCGCTTCACCTCAAACCTCTGCCTCTATTGTGGAGGTGATGGACATCGTGTGGTAACCTGCCCTTTAAAAGCCGAAGCTCACCGGGCATAGGGGGAGTCCGGTTGAGCTCAATGACCATCCAGTCCTCCAACCGCAAACCCCTGCTGCAAGTTCACCTCCGCCTCTCTGACTCAACTCACACCCTGGCTGCTCTGGTGGATTCTGGCGCCGAAGCCAACATAATGGACATCAAGCTGGCACGCCAACTGGGACTGGAGAACCTCCGTTTGACACCTCCTATTCCTGCCCGGGCACTGGACGGACACTTACTCGGATCGGTCACTCATGTCACGGCCCCGGTCTCGATGGGTCTGTCCGGAAACCATCAAGAAACTATCCAGTTTCACCTGCTCCCCTCTCCAGGCCAACCCCTCATCCTGGGTTACCCATGGCTCCGCCGGCACAACCCTCAGCTCGACTGGGTGACCGGGGTGATCAGGGAGTGGGGAGAGGACTGCCACCGAACCTGCCTGCTTGCTGCCGCACTACCCCCTCGGCCAGTACCTACTAACTCCGCTCCTGACCTCTCCAATGTCCCAGAATGCTACCATGGTCTCAGAGAAGTGTTTAACAAAGCAAGAGCCACATCTCTGCCCCCTCACCGACCGTACGACTGTGCCATCGACCTCCTCCCTGGAACAGCCCCTCCAAAGGGCCGTCTTTATTCGTTGTCTGCTCCTGAAAGAAGGTCCATGGAGGACTACATCAATGACTCTCTGTCCGCAGGATTAATCCGTTCATCTTCATCTCCTGCTGGTGCTGGCTTCTTCTTTGTGGGGAAGAGGGACGGATCTCTTCGCCCCTGCATCGACTACAGGGGACTCAACGACATCACAGTGAAAAACCGTTACCCTCTGCCTCTGCTCACCTCTGCTTTTGAGTTGCTCCAGGGAGCCACTGTTTTTACCAAGTTGGATCTCAGAAACGCTTACCACCTAGTGCGGATCCGGGAGGGAGATGAATGGAAAACCGCATTCAATACACCAACAGGCCACTACGAGTATCTGGTTATGCCTTTTGGCCTCACCAATGCTCCTGCTGTGTTCCAGGCTCTAGTGAATGATGTACTGCGGGACATGTTAAACAAGTTTGTCTTCGTTTACCTGGATGACATCTTAATCTACTCCAGAAACCTGTCTGAACACACCCGCCATGTCCAGCAAGTCCTTCATCGTCTTCTGGAGAATTCCCTCTACGCCAAGGCAGAGAAATGTGAGTTTCACGTCAAGACAGTGGCCTTCCTGGGGTACATAGTGGCAGAGGGAAGTATCCAAATGGATCCTGCCAAAGTATCAGCAGTCACTTCATGGCCAGTTCCGGAGAACAGAAAGAAGCTGCAACAGTTTCTGGGGTTTGCTAACTTCTATAGAAAGTTTATCCGGAACTACAGTACCGTTGCTGCCCCTCTCACTGCTCTAACCAGCACCAAGCAACCCTTCACCTGGACCCCAGCAGCCGACAAAGCCTTCAGTACCCTCAAGGTAAGGTTCACCTCCGCTCCCATCCTCCAGATGCCTGATGTGGACCGGCAATTCATTGTGGAGGTGGACGCCTCGGATGTGGGAGTTGGTGCTGTGATTTCTCAGTGGGCTGCGGAGGATAGGAAGCTCCATCCCTGTGCCTTTTTCTCACGTCGGTTGTCCCCCTCTGAGTACAATTACGACATAGGGAACCGAGAGCTGCTGGCTGTGAAGCTTGCCTTGGAGGAGTGGCGTCACTGGCTGGAGGGGTCCACCATTCCATTTCTCGTTTGGACCGATCATAAGAACTTGGAGTACATCCGCACAGCCAAACGGTTGAACTCCAGGCAGTCCCGCTGGGCCCTGTTCTTCACCAGGTTTAATTTCACTCTGTCATACCGGCCTGGATCACGCAACACCAAGCCAGACGCCCTCTCCCGTCAATTCCAGAAGGATGACACCCCCTCCAAGGATCCTGTGTCGATTCTGCCAAGTCCCTGCATCGTAGCAGCTCTGACCTGGGCTGTTGAGGAACAGGTGCTGGAAGCTCTCCGTAACCAGCCAGGTCCCAGCACTTGCCCAGCTGACCGCCTTTTTGTCCCCGAAAACCTGAGGTCCCAGGTCGTTCAGTGGGGACATGACTCCCGCCTAGCTTGTCACCCTGGCTCCACCCGCACTTACAACCTGCTCGCCCAGAGGTTCTGGTGGCCCTCTCTGAGAAAGGATGTACGGGAATTCGTCCAAGCCTGCCCCATCTGCAACCAACACAAGTCGTCCTGCCAGCCCCCAGCCGGATTGCTGCAGCCCCTGCCTGTGCCCAGACGTCCCTGGTCTCACATCGCCCTTGACTTTGTCACGGGGCTGCCCCCTTCAAGTGGCATGACCGTCATTCTCACCATAGTTGACCGATTCAGCAAGATGGCACACTTCATTCCCCTCCCCAAGCTCCCAACCGCCAAGGAGACCGCCCAGGTGGTTCTGGAACACGTCTTCCGGATCCACGGACTGCCAAAGGATGTAGTTTCTGACCGTGGTCCACAATTCTCCTCCGCTTTTTGGAAGGAGTTCTGTCACCTGCTGGGAGCCACAGTCAGTCTGACTTCCGGATTCCATCCCCAATCCAATGGGCAGTCAGAGCGGGCAAATCAGGAGCTCGAGAAGGCACTGCGATGCATGACTTCACGCAACCCCCACTCCTGGTCGCAGCAATTGACATGGGTGGAGTACGCACACAATTCTCTGACCTGCTCTGCCATCGGTATGTCCCCTTTCCAATGTGTTTATGGATACCAGCCTCCTCTATTTGCCAGCCAGGAAGGGGAGGTTACTTGCCCATCTGCACTTGCTTTTGCCCGTCGATGTCGCCGCACCTGGTCGCAAGCCCGAGCCACACTCCTTAGATCCGTTGCCAGCTACACTACCGGGGCCAACCGTCGGAGAATTCCTGCTCCCACCTACCATGTTGGTCAAAGGGTGTGGTTGTCATCGAGGAACCTGCCACTCAGGGTGGAGTCGCATAAGCTGGCACCTCGGTTCATTGGCCCATTCCCTATCATAAGAGTGATTAGCCCAACTGCTGTCCGGCTCCAACTGCCTAATTCCATGAGGGTGCACCCCACTTTCCATGTGTCTAAGATTAAGCCCATTCATGAGAGTCCGCTGGTCCCTGCTGCGCCTTGTCCTCCTCCTCCACAGCTCGTCGATGGTGGTCTGGTTTACACCGTCCGCCGCCTGCTTCGGTCCAGACGGAGGGGTAGGGGTCTCCAGTACCTCATTGACTGGGAGGGCTATGGACCTGAGGAAAGGACCTGGGTGCCAGCTAGTCGGATTGTGGATAGGACTCTCATCACCGCCTTCCACCAACGGCATCCTGATCAACCTGCAATCCGTAGGGGCCGCCCCAGAGGGGTCCCTAACCGTCCTGCCCGCTCGGCTTCCTGTCCTGTGCCTGATCCTGTCTCGGGACCTGTCCCATCTCCCGACCACGGCCCTCCGGCTTCCTCCGAGGATGAGGACGTTCACTCGGACCGTTCGGAGGAGTTCTAGCCCTCCTCCGGCTCCCCTCCTCCCGCCCGGCGTGGTGTTGCTCTTGGGACTTCTGGGGCCGTCCCTTGGGGGGGGGGTTCTGTCATGAGCCCTCTCACTCCACCGGGTTACCACCTTAATTTGTTTCCACTATCTTCCACTCTGCTCACCACTCTCTCTACTCAGCCTAACTAGCTCCACCTGTCCCTGCTCTGCTCTGCTCTAATTACTCTGCCAGCTGCGCTGCATTACCCACTAACCTCTCCCAGTATTTAAAGCCCTGTCTTTCAGCTCTCCTTTGTCAGATCGTCTGCAAAGCTCACACCCGGAACCTGTTTGCTCGCGCTTCTGGCTCACCCTTGTTTTGTGACCCCGGACCTGCCTGATTCTTGGATACTCTTCTGCCCCAGGAATACCAGACCTGCTTTCTGCCATAACGACTCCTGACTACTCTTCGATCCCGGACTTCTGGACCACCCACCACCGGCGTCATAGGACGCATCGCTGCCACTGGGGGGGGCACAGACCCAGCACATTGGACGGAATCCCTGTTATTCCCAGTAACCCCTGGAGCCTTCACTCACTCCCTACTTCCCTTTTCCCTTAAGTTTTAATAAACTTTCTGGTGTGACGCAATTGTGGTCCTCTGGTCGTCTGTCTGAACCGTGACACCTGTAACTTCTTCTTTAAGAGGCTCCTCTGTCCTCCACTCGTTACCTGTATTAATGGCACCTGTTTGAACTTGTTATCAGTATAAAAGACACCTGTCCACAACCTCAAACAGTCACACTCCAAACTCCACTATGGCCAAGACCAAAGAGCTGTCAAAGGACACCAGAAACAAAATTGTAGACCTGCACCAGGCTGGGAAGACTGAATCTGCAATAGGTAAGCAGCTTGGTTTGAAGAAATCAACTGTGGGAGCAATTATTAGGAAATGGAAGACATACAAGACCACTGATAATCTCCCTCTATCTGGGGCTCCACGCAAGATCTCACCCTGTGGGGTCAAAATGATCACAAGAACGGTGAGCAAAAATCCCAGAACCACACGGGGGGACCTAGTGAATGACCTGCAGAGAGCTGGGACCAAAGTAACAAAGCCTACCATCAGTAACACACTATGCCGCCAGGGACTCAAATCCTGCAGTGCCAGACGTGTCCCCCTGCTTAAGCCAGTACATGTCCAGGCCCGTCTGAAGTTTGCTAGAGTGCATTTGGATGATCCAGAAGAGGATTGGGAGAATGTCATATGGTCAGATGAAACCAAAATAGAACTTTTTGGTAAAAACTCAACTCGTCGTGTTTGGAGGACAAAGAATGCTGAGTTGCATCCAAAGAACACCATACCTACTGTGAAGCATGGGGGTGGAAACATCATGCTTTGGGGCTGTTTTTCTGCAAAGGGACCAGGACGACTGATCCGTGTAAAGGAAAGAATGAATGGGGCCATGTATCGTGAGATTTTGAGTGAAAACCTCCTTCCATCAGCAAGGGCATTGAAGATGAAACGTGGCTGGGTCTTTCAGCTTGACAATGATCCCAAACACACCGCCCGGGTAACGAAGGAGTGGCTTCGTAAGAAGCATTTCAAGGTCCTGGAGTGGCCTAGCCAGTCTCCAGATCTCAACCCCATAGAAAATCTTTGGAGGGAGTTGAAAGTCTGTGTTGCCCAGCGACAGCCCCAAAACATCACTGCTCTAGAGGAGATCTGCATGGAGGAATGGGCTAAAATACCAGCAACAGTGTGTGAAAACCTTGTGAAGACTTACAGAAAACGTTTGACCTGTGTCATTGCCAACAAAGGGTATATAACAAAGTATTGAGAAACTTTTGTTATTGACCAAATACTTATTTTCCACCATAATTTGCAAATAAATTCCTAAAAAATCCTACAATGTGATTTTCTGGAGAAAAAAATTCTCATTTTGTCTGTCATAGTTGACGTGTACCTATGATGAAAATGACAGGCCTCTCTCATCTTTTTAAGTGGGACAACTTGCACAATTGGTAGCTGACTAAATACTTTTTTCCCCCACTGTATGTATGTATGTGTGTTAGGAGAGTGTACAGTATGTTAAGCATATATATTTATTTCATAAACTGGATATCGTAAAACTGGTATGTCAGAACAAAATGTAAGGAGATACCATTTCAACTTCAGTGTTGTGCCTCAGAGATTTCTGAAGGTATTAACACTCCAAAACTGGGTGAACATAGATAGTTAATGGCTGCAGGGCAGAATCTCTCTCTTATAATAAACAGAAACTGGTGCACAGAGACAGACAGACAGACAAGGACTGGCAATAATAAACCAGTACTGTAAATTGTGAAGCATTGATCAGAAACACGTGTCTATTTTTGTATGCATGCTATCTATCCAAATGTTTGTAAATGGTTTTTGTATTCCGATGTGTGTGTGAGATCTGGAGACTGCTGGTGTGAACCCATCATCCACATTGTGTTTCTAAGAAATATTTAACATTTTAAGTAAAAGCAACAGAAGAAAGTGTTAGTTTTTGAAGTGTTCTCTGCAAAAAGGTAAATAACTGTATTTATAAACTGTTCAATGTTTGAGCATGCTTTGTATAACTTAAACAGAATATCATGCCATTTGAAATCTATGAAAGTCGCACATGTTTGGCGTATCGTGGCTAATTTACTTTTTTATTCAATAATAAACGATGGCTTGTCCATCCCATGAACTCTCCCTGAATGATGATTCCCCCATTTCAAGTATTTTCTTTGGTGCTCTATTCCTGATGAGTGGAACACAGATTGTAGATACAACTATTTTCCTCTAAAAGTTTCTCCCTCGATGTTGGATGTTTCTTTATACTGTATCAGCAGTAAGCATTAATACGTTATTCTTACTGGTAAACCCCTATGTTGATACACTATTGAAAAGCACAGAACATTCTCTATAAATCCATCTTTGAACATGGCGGTCAGCCTATCAGGAGGTTGATGAAGAAGCAGCTCAGATTCCCAGAGGAGATAGGCAGCACAAGCCTCAAACCAGATATCGTTTTCTGGTCTAGAAGCACCAAGCAGGTGCAGGTCGTCATCGAGCTTACAGTGCCCTGGGAGGAGGATAGAGGAGACACATGAGCGGAAGCTCAAGAAATACCAGTCCCTCATCCTTGAGAGTCAGCAGAATGGATGGAGAGCCTGGAATCTACCAGGGGTGAAATAATTTGTCCTAACAGTTGCAAACAGTTGCATTTTGCAACGAACACGAAAGTTTATATTGGACAAATTCATTTAGGTCCCTGATGCTTCGTTCCGTTTGTTTCCGTTTTAGAAACGTTTTGCAACATAATTGGCGTAATGAATACGCCCCCAGTTGAGGTCGGTTGCAGGGGCTTCGCAGGCCAATCACTCTGGAGAACCCTGGGGCTGCTCAGCATTGAAGGAGTGGCAAGGAAGAAGCTAGTGGCTGACGTCAGCAAGCAGGCAGAAGTTGTATCTCATTGTAAAAATCTAAGGTTTTCATGAGGGTTAGGGCATATAAGTTATTCCGTTAATATCTAAGATGTCTTGTTTTGAAGTTAGCCGGTCAAGTTCAAGTTCTTTAAAAAATGCATTGGATATTTGTACCTTTGTTGGTCAATTTATTTTAGCCGCACTTGGTTTGAGTGTAACATTCTAATCAGCTTCGGACAGAACAAGTAGCTTGTGTTCCCTATTTAGATCAATGGGGAGAGCGATGTCTGATCATGGTGAACTTACAAACAGTTCAGAGATCACACAGACAGTCCCGTTGGAGACGGCCAACACAGTTTAATGAGCTTGTTATTGTTACCAAACTATGCTAAAGTTTTTTCTGTTCATTAAGGTTTAGAAAGCCACCCCTATGATATGAATATCCCGTAGGCAGCCCTTCCTTAGCTAGGCCTACTGGAGCTGCAGCTACTGAATCATACATACATGAACACAATACTTTCCCCACTCATGTTACCATGCATGTGTCCAATTCGACCTTATGTTTGTTGAGCCAAGATGAATTATGTCGAGCAGCACTGTGTATTGGATCACTTGCCACTTTTTCTTGTCTCAACACTTTTTTTTTTGTGCAACCAAAACTGTCATATTAACATGACCATATAAACATATTTAACTGAAGAACGCTGTAATGTGAAAATTCTCACTACTCTACTTTCAGTCTGTTTGTTTTGTTTTGATGGGAGTTGATGCACTAGGCTGGCGCTAACCCAATGTACTGTATTTCCAAAATAATAAAAATCTGCACAAGCATCAGCAGAGCAAACATTCTCCAGTGACCCCCACAGCTTAGCTAAGTTCAGAGAGCCATTTTTTGTTTACAAGCAAACGTCATGTTTGAGTGATGCGCGCGCATGCTTGTAACAAAAAGCCCTGTAGCATGACAAACTTAGAAGTGGGTGACTGATGACCATGAAAACACACAAGACTGATGGCTATAGCTATGCTCAACAAGTATATTATTCTTCTGGCTTTATCTAGCTCTGTTTGTGATTATTTGACCGTGCCTCGATGGCTTTCTAGATAATCAACCCGCCAATGACTACTGCAATGTTAATGTAGCCGATAACCATCTGATTACGTGTTTGCTAACTTACATGAGCAGAGCCCTATACTACGAATCTAGTTTGAGGAGTTAGTGAGGTTACTTTGGTCAATTCTGAGTTTAACTTGGGATAACCGGAACCGCAAAAGTGGCTCACCTTTTAGCCAGGTACATTTCTATGGCAAGGAATCCTTCAAAACTAACCTGCTCCGGGCTGTGGGACGTGTCTAGATCATTCTTATATTCTGAGAACATGGCAACCATGTTCTGTGTATGTTTGGTGTGACATTGAGGAATATTCTCCTAACCCTCAGAAAAATGGACACTTGAATATTCTTGCAACATTCCAATGAAACGTGTCTAGAACATTAATATTGAATATTCTGAGAACATGGTAACCACGTTCTGGGTAAGTTGTGTTTAATGGTCTCTTGGAAACAGTCCTTGCACATCACTGGAACATTCACATGAAAACGTTAGATAATGGCGTAATGAGACTCTTAAGGGAACGTTCTCTAAAGTTGTGGGAACATTTGTTGTTAGCTGGGATGTCAGCGCAAACTGGAAGGAGATTACATTTCAACTTCAGTGTTGTGCCTCAGAGATTCTGAAGGTATTAACACTTCAAGACAGGGTGAACATACACTATATATACAAAAGTATGTGGACACCCCTACAAATTAGTGGATTTGGCTATTTTAGCCACACACGTTGCTGACAGGTGTATAAAATCGAGCAAACAGCCATGCAATCTCCATAGAAAAACACTGGCAGTAGAATGGCCTTACTGAAGAGCTCAGTGACTTTCAATGTGGCAACGTCATAGGTGTCGTGGAAATTCTAATCAAGTGAGAGAGACTGTCATTTTTTCAAACAATCAATCTTTATTTGATTTCAATTATTTATTGCAATAATGGAGCTGGTCAACGAACCCCCCCGTAGGTGATTTGTTGAGAGCCCAACGATATAGAGACGCAAGGGGTTTATATAGAATCCCAAAACGGTTTAGTCATGGTTGGTTCCACCCCTCCCTGGCAGATCAGGGAATCATAAACTATCTAGTTTTCTTCTTGTGGCCAGGTGTATTGGGTGTATAAGGTTATAGGCACAAACAAGTGATAACGGCAGTTCTGTTACTCCTTTCTCTACCAAGTTAGCCTCCGTTCTCTTCTATCTCCCCACAGCTGTGCCCTTGGAAGATAGTAAAAAAACTGGATAGACTGAAGAACTGTGGTAACTCTCAGAGGCTCTTTGTCTTATGCCGTATTACCAGGTTACTGAGAAGCAAAGAGAAATTAAAACAATACAGGTCTATCTGTTCCTCAAGTTTATCTCTATCCCATGTCCTTGACTACACGCCTAGACCAGCTGCGGGGAGTGAATGTGGAAGAGATTAACCATCCTTTCTCAGAAGCACAGCATTGGCACTAAAGAAATGTCTTTAAGCAAATTAATTGTTAACTACTAATATTAAACAAATCAGTTAAATACGTAATTTTTCTCTCTCACATGGGATACCACCTTTCCAACAAGTTCATTCGTGAAATTTCTGCCCTGCTAGAGCTGCCTCTGTCAACTGTAAGTGCTGTTATTGTGAAGTTGAAATGTCTAGGAGCAACAACGGCTCAGCCGCGAAGTGGTAGGCCAACAAGCTCACTGTCCTCGGTTGCAACACTCACTACCGAGTTCCAAACTGCCTCTGGATGCAACGTCAGCACAATAACTGTTTGTTGGGAGCTTCATGAAATGGGTTTCCATGGCCGAGCAGCCGCACACAAGCCTAAGATCACCATGCGCAATGCCAAGTATCGGCTGGAGTGGTGTAAAGCTTGCCGCCACTGGACTCTGGAGCAGTGGAAATGTGTTCTCTGGAGTGATGAATCACGCTTCACCATCTGGCAGTCCGACGGATGAATCTGGGTTTGGCGGATGCCAGGAGAACGCTACCGCCCCCAATGCATAGTTCCAACTGTAAAGTTTGGTGGATGAGGAATAATAGTCTGGGGCTGTTTTTCATTGTTCAGGCTAGGCCCCTTAGTTCCAGTGAAGGGAAATCTTAACGCTACAGCATACAATGACATTCTAGATGATTCTGTGCTTCCAACTTTGTGGCAACAGTTTTCGAGAAGGCCCTTTCCTGTTTCAGCATGACAATGCCCCCGTGCACAAAGTGAGGTCCATAGAGGCCTTCTCAGAAGAGTGGAGGCTGTTATAGGGGGACCAACTCCATATTAATGGCCATGATTTTGGAATGAGATGTTTGACGAGCAGGTGTCCGCATACATTTGGTAATGTAGTGTAGGTAGTTAAGGGCTGCAGGGCGGAATCTCTCTCTTATAATAAACAGAAACTGGTGCACAGAGACAGACAGACAGACATATGAGAACTGGCAATAATAAACCAGTACTGTAAATTGCGAATCATTGATCAGAAACACATGGCTATTTTTGTATGCATGCTATCTATCCAAATGTTTGCAAATGATTTTGTATTCCGAGCAGGGCCCGATTAAAGCAGGAGCTTACCGGGGCTGAAGCCCCTGGGCCCAGACCCGTGGGGGGCCCAAGAGGCCCAAAAATAAAAATAACTGTTTTAAAATTATAATAATAATGTTTTATCCAACCACAAGAGCCTGCTCTCAATTTTCAAAATACACCAGAGAGCATTATTTAGGCACAGATGATCAGTAGTTTATAAAAAAATTAAAAATAATCTTCCAAAATTAAGGAAACACCAACATAATGTGTCTTAAAAGGGTGTTGCGCCACCATGAGCTGCCAGAACAGCTTCAATGCACCTTGGCATAGACCTAAACCATGCCGGGAAAATGTACCCCACACCATAACATATTCTTTGTATCCCTCGTTTACTCAAATGTTTCCTTTATTTTGGCAGTTACCGGTATGCCTACAGTTGGGAAGGCCACAGTTTAGGCAGCTTGCGCGCCAGATATAGGCTACAGTTTGTTGTGGTTGTGGCCATAGACATATAATCCATAGAAGGGTTTTGTAACCTCTTACCCTGGCAATTTGACTGTGAAATTCATGGGTACAATAGCAATGGATGCCAGTCCTGACTAGAATGGGAACTGCCATCTATGGATTATATTTCTATGGTTGATTGCAGCTGTCAGTTTGCCTTTTGCAGATTTCAGAATACAATCCCGAGAAAAATGTAAAGTTTGGAAAGCAAATGCCTACTGCTGAAAAGAGAAGACTAATCTATCTTTAGAACCAATAGAAATGTGTAAGTCGCTCTGGATAAGAGCGTCTGCTAAATGATGTAAATGTAAATGTAAATAAACATTTCTCAATAACTCCCAATTTGTAGGGGCGGGGTGTGGGGGAAGGGAGCCTATAAAAAAACTAAGCCCCAGGGCCTATGACGTCTTAATCCGGCCCTGATTCCTAGGTGTGTGTGTGATCTGAAGAACAGTGAACCCATCATCCACATTGTGTTTCTAATAAATATTTTACATTTTAAGTAAAAGCAACATAAGAAAGTGTTACGTTTTGAAGTGTTCTCTGCAAAAAGGTAAAAACCTGTATGTAAAAAACTGTTC